CTCAAGACCTACTTTCTTTTTATGTTAAGGTAAGATCTCAGTAAGTTTTCCCAACTGAGCTTTTAACTTGTGATGCTTCACATTAAGCCTCCCAGAGTACTGTTGATTACAAATGTGTACTACCATGCCTGACTTCTTTGCTTTTTTTCCTCATTATTTTATAGTTTTCATTGTAGATGTCTTTCACTTTCTTGATCACTGATTCATTTTAAGTTAACTTTTGTGAATTTTTTTTTTTGTTTGTGGATGTATAGTTGTACCAGGATCATGTATTGAAACGATTGTCCTCCCTTCGTTGAGCTACATTTGTTTATTTGTCAAAGATCAGTTAGCTATGTTTTTATGGATCTGTGTGCTCTATTCTGGCCCACAGATCTCTTTTTTGCCAGTACTGCACCATATGATTATTATACTTTATAATAATAATCAAATGGATTTTGTTCTTTTTACTCTTCCTTTTCCTTCCTTCCTTCCATATAGGGGATTGAACTAGGGTCACTTTCAACTAAGCTATAGCTGTAGCCCTTTTATTTTTTTAGACCAGGTCTTGCTAAGCTGCTTAGGCTTGTCTCAGATTCATGATTCCCTTGCTTTGGCTTCCCAATAGCTGGGATTACTGATATATGCCACCACACTCATTATGTTCTTGTTTAATATTATGTGAAGTGGTCAGTACCTTTTGTCTCTTCATGAGAATTGGTTTGTTGGTAGTAACTAAGTAACTGTTGGGGTTTTGATTGGGATGGGTATCATGTCTGTCGATCAAGTAGGGAAGAAATGTCTTGAGCATATCAACCCTTCCTATCTGCAAACATGGGCTGTCTCGCCATTTGTTCAGCTCTTTATGTAATTGTTTTGTGGTTTTCCTCATATGGACCTCACACATATTTTTTTAGATTTATAATAAAGGACTTATTTTGGTGCTGATATAAATGGTTTTGTGTTTTTTCATTTTGAATCTCCACTGCTTATAGGTGGTGTGTGGGCTCAGAACACCCTAAGGACTCTCACGGTGATGGCACTTGGTGTGTGGAAAGCCAGATGAGTTTCCAGTGCCTGCCGAAAATGTTCATCATCAGATCAGTTTCACTGAAGGGAATGGAGAGAGGTGGCCTGTTACAAGAAACACAAGCAGCATGCTTTGCTAGGGGAGCACCTGCACCGCCTCAGGGACTGACTGGACTGAGGTGCTGTGCTGCAGTTCTGGGTCCCATGGGTTGACCACAGATTACAGTATGGTCAGCTTTTCTCGGAGCTGGAGGTCGAGTTGTGATTTTCTGAAGTTAACATTTTTAAAAACTTACACATGTTTATTGTATGAAGTTTATATGAACTGTACGTGTTTATCCTTTAGTTTTGCACATTTAGGCTGCCTCATTTTATTGTGAACAGCTTGTAAACCCAACAATTTGTAATCATTTTTAGCATAATTGCAGAGAGGGAATTCGGCCAAAATATTCTCGTTGTTAAGACTTGATATGCATTGTTCTCTAGGACAGTGTCTCCTGTCTGTTCCCTGGGGGTAAGCCTCTGAGGGACTGCCTTTGAGTCTTTGTTTGATTACAGAAAATTTGGTGACCCTCTGGGTGATTGGTCTTCGGTGACATTTCTTTCCTTGTTTGTTGCACTAAGATTGCCTGCCTCCTCCTTTGTGCCTACAGCAGATGCCAGCTCTACTCATGCTTTCACACAGTCTTCTGATTGTGAATTGGAGGTGTCACAGTGGAGGAAGAGCTTATGAGGCTGGAGTAATGGAGCTCTAGAATGTCATCCAGGCTCCTCCTACTTTATTGGTGGCTCCTGTACCTTCAGGAGAAGGTCAGGGGCCACATCCTGCAGGCTCTAAGAAAGGGGTCTTTGTAGTCTGACATCTTTTAAACATTTCTTATGATGCAGCTTTGGTGCTGCTTGGCTGCTTAGAAGTGTCAGTACATACTAGTGCTGGTGAGTAGACTAGACTCAACTCTTTGACCCATTTCCTGAAATTGTCCAAAGTATGATGGAAACTTGAAAAAAATGTGTAATTTGGAACTACTACAATTGAGTTGTTTGTCTTTTCTGGGTGTCTCTTGATCACATCTTGTAATGTGAGCATCATAACTCTTGATAATGAGAAAGCCAGATTACTTTGTTGCTTTTTTCTTTTTTTGGTACCAGGGATTGAATTTATGACCTCATGCTTCCCAGGCAGGTGCTTGAGTGGCTGAGCTAAATCCCTGGCCCCAAATTAGATTATTGCTTACCTACTTCCTCCAGAAATACTTCCACTCTTATGCTTACATGCTATTGAAAACATAATTTTAAAAACTGATGGAAGTCAGACCTTCTTCAGACCTTCTAAAGGTTACACAGTGAAGTGTCCTCTCACTGAAACTGTAGATTTCCAGTATTACTGATTCCTCAGTGTCCTCTAAGAAAGTCTAAGCATAAACTTGTCTCTCCCTTAGACTGTAAATAAAAAGGAGAGAAAGAATGTTTCTCACCTAATTACTAATCTTAATGATTCTGTGTTAGCATTTTTATGTTATTTTTAACGTTATTTCTGTGGTTTTATTAAATTTAATATAACTTTGCTATTGATGGATTCAAGTAGGTTGTTTCTAGGGTTTAGTATTAAATGCTGCCATAGTTACCATATATTTGTGGTGTATGAAGAGGAATTTATTGTAAAGGAATTTAAGGTGTTAACCTCTTTCTTGTTTTTATTTCTGGAGATAAGAGTCTTGCTTTGCTGTGCAGGCTGGCCTTCAGTTCTCTATGTAGCATGTAGCCCAGGCTGGCCTCGAACTCATGGATATCCTCCTGCTTTAATCTTCCTTCCACATGTTGGGATTACAGACGTGTGCCACCACACCCAGCTGCTTTGCTTATTTTTTAAAAGAGCTCTTTTTATTATAAATGAATAGAAAATTTAGATTATATTAAAATATATGTTTACCTATTTGGCCTCAACTGTCACAGAGAATGACTACTGTGTCACGGGTGATTATTTTCTAATCTTTTTGAATGGAAAATCAAGCGTTCCTGTTGTATGCATTTTCATAAGCTGGTGCCATGACATAGTGCTGCACCGTTAAGTGTTCTACAGATGTGAAACCAGTTATGTCTCGTGTTCATAGGGGCTCTTTCATGCAAGTCTGCAAGGTTAGGGACATTTGAGCATCACTCACCAGGCCATGCTATCACTGATGGTCCAGGAGATCCCCCAAAAGAGAAGGTGTAGACTTTTAAACTAATGTAGATGCATTAGTTTAAAAAGCACATGATCAGGGGTGGGGTTTTAACTCAGCGACACAAATGCCTGCTTGGCAAGTACAAGGTCCTGGGTACGATTCCCGGTACCCCCCCCCCCAAAAGTACACAATCACAAAACAGTATGAGTCCTCCAGAAAGAAGTACTTTATGGTCTGGGATCCAGGAGTCTTTGTGTTTGAAGATCTGTGGAATTTGTGAATCCATAGTGTTGGAGGTAAAGGCCAGACTCCGTTGATAGCTGAAAAACACAAGTCCAGTTTACAAGTTATGGAAAGGAGAGAGGCATTGTAAACTTGTGACTTTTTGTGGGGCGCTGGTCTTTTTGAGACAGGTTTCACTGCAGTTCAGGCTGACCTGGAACTCACTTTGTATCACAGGCTGGCTTCAAATAGGTAGCAATCCTCTTCCCTCAGCCTCATGAGTACTGTGATTATTGGTGGGCACCATCATACTTGGCCCTGAATAACTCTGTGTCCTGAACATTGAATTTTCTTAAATGTACAAGTTAAAAATGATGATTTTCAGGCTGGTGGTTTAGCTCAGCAGCATAAGTGCCTGCTTGGCAAACGTGAGGTCTTAAGTTCGATTCCTGGTACCAAAAAAAACATTTTCCTCATCTTTTTCCTGTTTCTTTTACCTTACTCCAGAAGTGTTCTACCTGAAGTGTCTGAATTTATAAATTGTTAGCAATGTTAGTGCATGAGAGCCAAAAAACATAGCTTAGAACAAGCATAGTGCATCTGTTCTGTTTACATCTGTAAGTGAAGTGCTGTGGGAAATAATCCCAGCAGAGGAGACAAAATTCGTCTTATGGCTAGTTCTAAAGACTAATGCATATGCTACAATCTGTTCATAAGTGACTGGACATTGGTTTTATGGAAATCAGCACAAGATATAAATTTACTTTTGACATACACTCCAGTTTTGACCATAAAAACTTTTTATTTTAATGGGATAATGAAATTTAATTTATATTGCCTTCTGTGCCTTACTGTTTCAAAAAGAATTCTGATTTGGGACCACTATGTCTGGTGAAGAATACTTTTCTGAGAAGATAAGATAATGTGCCTCCTGGAACAAATGGAGAGGTTTGCTGTTGCTTACTGTTGACCTATTGAGGGATCGGTTACTGTCAGAGCTGTGTATGTGAGATTAGCTTGACACAGAGCCCTGATCTGAAACTAGGGTTAGTTACTGCAAAAACACTCAGCACTCAACATGTTTATGGAGCTGAGTGTTTTCAAGTAACCTTTATGCACTTGACATGTTTAACTTTCCCTCTTATTACCCAGTTCCTTTATAAGACAAGTAATTTTGTTCAAAATTACGTATAGTAAAAATTTCTTTTGCAGTAATGGTGGGCTCTCATACTGTGGTTAGAGATACTAGGACGGTCTGATGTTGGTACTTGCCTGGCCCCTTGGGGTGACAGCACAGCCTGGTGCCCAGCTTACTCCACTCGCCTGTGGACTGGTGCGCCCCATGTGCACTGCTTCCTCACCTGACCTTAGTGTGGGTCTCTACTGACATGTGGGCCACAGGTGACTCAGTGGCTGGGGGGACGCCTTTAGCCTCTTGAGATGCACCTTGGATCCCATTGGATTCAATGAGTGGTTCGATTAAATTATTCTTAGAATGGCTTTTGTGTTGAAATATTTTATAACCTTTGAGAATATTTTTAAGCTTGAAGTTATAGTCTTCTTTCCCTGATTTTTTTTCTTCCTTTTTTTTTTGGTTCAATTTAGGAAGAAAAGGCTTCTCTTTTACATCGCACTCAGGAAGAGAGAAGGAAGAGAGAGGTAAGCCAGCTTTGTGATGCTCTCCATGAATGAGTATTTTTCACAGCACTGAAGAAGTATAGGTTTTAGTGTCCACACTCACATGTATCAGTCTTCTGCTTTAGTGTTTCTGGATGGTTGAAGCTGGCAGGAAGTGGTTCTGGAACTGTTAGAGAAAGACATGGACAAGCAGACTGCTAAGAGGGAGACTTTTGTGCTCGCAGGAAGGCTTCCTGGTGCGCAGTATTTGTGTATCCTGCTCCAGGAGGGCACACTTGGCTTTGAGCATGGGTCTTAGTTGTTTGGGGGAGCTGGGAGAGAGGAGCCAACCATGTTCCTGGTTTTCTCCTTTGCCTTACAGCTTTCAAGGAATATTGTCAGAATGACTTGCTGATCTATCAGTACTTGTACTCACTTTTTTAGGTACAGTTTTTCATTCTGTTTTTAGCAGCTGACTTATCAAGAGTTTGTTGGGTGTCTGAGCAGTGAGAGGAGCAGATGAGGGTCCTTTCCAGCAGTGGGCATTACAAAGGAAGTGTGCAGGGAGCTATGGAGGCAGTAGAGTTGCGCTTGGTCACTGGGGAGACCTGTGGAGCGAGGTAGAGTGAAGCAGGTGCCTTTGGAAAGTCAGAGGAAGCAGCAGGGCAGAGGATCCAGCCTCCTTGTTGGCATTCTGAGTGGACGTTTCCTGTTGTGCAGACTGTGCTGTGCACTGAAGGACATATGCCTCTACCCAGTAGATGCCGTTAGCATTTCCTCCCTGATGGTAACAACCAGAAGTGTCCCTTAGAGATCACCAGCTGAGAAGAGCAGTTATTGTCCATGTTCTTCATCTGCTTTGCCGTCTTCCCTTTTTCAAGTCGACTGCAGACATGCTTGACCTTTGCCTATTGTCTTGTAAGTCTCTTATGTGCCTTTCTCTGTTTATCCTTTCACATATCTGTGCTTCAGTTTGGGTATTTCATGTGGCCCAGCTTTTGTTTTGGAATATTGGAGATTGAACCCAGGGCCTCTTGCATGCTAAGCAAGAGAACCGAGTGTGCCCCTCTCCCTTTGGTTGTTTTTTTTTTTTTGTTTTTTGTTTTTTTTCGTTTGTTGGTTATATGTTTTTCTTTCTTTCTTTTAATTTTATTTTGAGGCAGGGTCTTGGGAAGTTTCCCAGGCTAGTTTTGAACTTGTCATCTTCCCATCTCAGCCTCCTAGCCGGGATTAAGGTGTATGCCACACAGCTAGTCTAAACTAACTTCTAATTTATAGTTTATTTCTTTAGTGGTGTCTAATTATAAAATTCACCATTGAATTCTTAATTCAGTTTGTCAAGTTTCAGGTATAGCGTTTTCTTTCATTCTTTTATAGGTTTTTCAGCTCTGTTGCCTTTTACTTAATTGTGATTAAGTAGATTTTTGTAGATTTTTAAACAGTATCTAGAGTGTAGCAGTTGAGTCTTCTGTGGGCCTGGAGAGTATTCCACTTGCCTCTGGCGGGAAGTAATGAGGACACTACTACCCCTGCCCTAGTGGGCCTGCTGTCTCTAGAACGCGTGAGATGTTCTCAGTACCCTTTGGTGGTGAGCAGTGTACATCGCATCCCAGGGTACAGAAAGATACACAGTAGCTTCAGGTGTGTGTGTGTGATATGGTGCCTGGTGTGAAAGAGTCACAAGGGATGGACTCTAGCTGTTATGCTTAGGCTGATTGGTCTTCACCGTGGGCCATGCTTCCTGGTCCTCCTGTGTTGAGTGTGGGAGCTGCCTGTCACCGTATCATTGTTGTTCAGGAGTTGGGTTGGCACACTATACAAGTATAGGGATGGATGTTTAGAATGTGTTTCTGTCAGGGCCCTGAGCTCTTTAAAAACAGTCTCAAGTTGGGGCTGGGGGTTTAGCTCAGCGGCATAAGAGCCTGCCTTGTAAGCAGGTAGTCGTGAGTTCAATCTCTGGTACCGATAAAAAGGAAAAAGAAAAAAAAAAGTTAAAAAAAAAAAAAAAAAAAACAGTCTCAAGTCAGTGAAGATTGGAGTTTTTGTAAGTGATCTTTAAGATAGAGGTTTGTATTGTCTGTGTTTTAATATTTAAAACTTTTTAAATACTCTTAGTGTATTGGTGGCATTGTAAAATGGCATAGGCATTTTGGAAATGTGACAGAAATATGAATATACTCCTAGGGAGATAAAGAAAATGAAAACTGTGTCCACAAAAAGTATGAGTATGAGTGCTGGGGGCAGCACTGTTCATGATAGCTCAGACGGATGCAGCTCAAGGGCCCAGCAGCTCGTGAATGGAGAAACAATGTAAGATACCATATGGGTATCTTTCCATTGGCTGCAAAGAGGAATGAGGTACCAGCACACGCCACAGGCTGTGTGAATCTCAGAAAAATCTAAGGAGAGAAGCTGGACAAGCGATCTATGTCATAAGAGTCTAGGATGGGGAGGGTACAGAATGTGGAAACTGATGGAGATAGATAATTGATATAGCAATAGGGGTGGTTATGAATGCAAGCAGAGTTCAGTGGTGGTGATGGCTTTGTAACTCTGGCTGTGTTGCCAGCATACTGTGTGAATGGTGCATGTTAGAGAACTGTGTGGTGCATGAAGTATACAGCTGTTTTTATTTTTTAAAAATCCTTACTAGGTAAATGGGATTTTGCCTGATTTTGACCAGTTGTTCTTTGCCTCCTCTCTTAATTATACAGGAAGAAAGGCGAAGATTGAAAAACGCAATAATTATCCAGTCATTTATTCGAGGATATAGAGACCGAAAACAACAAGTAAGTTTGTTTTTAAAACAATTAGAGTGCCAAATGAGAGTTGATTTTAAATGAGTTTTTTTTTTTTTTTTTTTTTTGTCTTTTTCATTTTTATTGGTGCCAGGGATCGAACTCACGACCACCTGCTTGCAAGGCAGGTGCTTATGCTGCTGAGCTAGACCCCTAGCCCCGAATGAGTTTTGTTTTTATGAGTAATGTCTTTTGTGTATATTTTTATAAACCTGTTTAGAGAAAGTTAATGTTAGAAGTGATTTTTCTAATAAATATAGTAGTACTATTAGGGCCAGGGACTGAATTCTATCCCCTGTACCACAAATAATAAAATGCATCATTAGTTATATTTATGTATAGATTTATAGTGGGTTTGGGGGGGGTTGCTTTGAGACAAGGTCTTCTTATGCAACCCAGACTGGCCTTGAGCTTGTGACAGTCCTACGCCGTACTCCAGTGCTAACATTATAGACATAAGCCACCATATCTGGTTGTTTTGGGTATTTTTAAATAGTAATATATAAACATGAGCCAAACCATAATCCTAGATCAAAATAGAAGTGTTGAAATGCTTTCTCTTTCTTTCTGTCTTTCTTTTTATAGTATTGGGGATTGAAGTCAGGACCTTAGCACTAAACTACATTCCTAACCCTTTTGATTTGTAATTTTGATAGAGGGACTCACTAAGTGTCACTGAATTGCCCAGGCTCTTGCCTCGTCCTTCCAAAGAACAGAGGGCTGGAGTTACAGGTACACTCAAAAGTTTCTTTCAGTGGGCATTCAGGAACTTTTTTGGTTTTTCGAATTTTCACCAGTAATTTCCATAGCAGCAGCTTAGTTGTCAATGTCTGACATTCCTGTATAGTCCTTAACACTTAGATTGTAAGAACTGGGGGTCTTGAGTAGCAGGTTTATACATTGTTCTTTTTGCTTGCAGTACTCCCTCCAAAGAAGTGCGTTTGATCGCTGTGCCAATGCAGCGCAGTTGGGTGGCACCTTCTCCCTGGGCAGTGGCCCCAATCTTACCGTCCTGGTGAGGCAGCTTCTGTTCTTTTACAAGCAGAGTGAAGACTCAAAGCGTTTGGTGAGTGCATGTGCATGTTTCACTTGCCATTGTTTATACTGTATGTCTTCCAACTTTTACTGAAAAATACGGAGATGGTGTCTGATGCAAAAGCCAACTAAACCCTCTAGTGTGTCTGAGCCCTTAGAAATGTTCTGCACCTCTATGTTGGTGCGTTTCTCCTCTTACAATTCAGTATACATTTTAAATAGGTATTTTCATAGTTTTAATGTGGAAAATTTCAAATACTAAAGAAGTAGGCTCTGCTGATACCTCCCTGCACTGACCGTAGGAGGGCAGGTTCACACAGCCCCCAACCTTCATCACGGGCCTATCTGAGCATGGGTCATTTCCCAGAGTGGACAACCCACTCATGCATTTCCTAAGAATGTCATGAGCTCTGATGGTACCAGTATACATGAGTGCTGGGAAATAGATACAGGAACATCAGGGAATCATTGTTCCAAAATGGAACTTATTACCTATTTTTAGAAATTTCCATTTACAGTATCTGTAATGAAATTTCAATTTTTTTTTTTTTTTTTTTTTTTTGTGGTGCTCGGGATCGAACTCATGACCTTGTGCTTTCCAAGCAGATGCTTGTACCACTGAGCTATATCCCCGGGCCCCAAATTATATTTTAAGAGGTGAGGTCTACAATGAAAAGTAGACTCCGTGCTACACAGCATGCTTTCTAGAAAGTTTCCCCTGTGGTGAGTACTGAGGACAAAAGAGTCCCTGACTGCCTGTCTGGAGCTTGAATCTGATAGTGGGGACATGGAAGAGATTCCCTGCGCTATCCAGAATGGCACAACCTGGAGACCCATAAACAAGCAGGCATGTTTCGGGCTTCTTGTCTGAAGTTCTTGAGGAAAAGCATCAGGCACAGCTGCAGGCAGGCCACCCAGCTGTCCCTGTCCTCATGCTCTAGTTTTAGAGATGGGAAGGTTTCTAAGGAGCAAGGACTAGAGCAAGTAACTGTGGGTATTATTCCCATTTCCTTCTGAGAAGAGGCATAGTCCATGACCCTTGTCTAGTTTCTTTTTTTTTTTTTTTTGGTTTGTTTGAGGCAGGGTCTCACTATGTAATTTGGGCTGGTCTTGAATTCACTAGCCCAAAGTGGCTTCAAACTCACAGTACTTTTTTTTTTTTTTTTGCCTTACCTGGGATACGTGGCTGTGCCACCACACCCAGTTAACCTTCCCTTAGTTTCTGCAGGCGGCATACAATGCAAATCGCTGTGATGCAGATTCTGAAATCTGCAGAATAAAACATCATCAAGCCTGTTTCATACAAGAAAAGTGGATTTGAATGTCTTCTGTTCGGTCATGTAACATTGATTGCAAGAGCAGTCATGGAAAAGTCCCTGCTGGTCCATTTTCAGGTTCCTGGATTCCTACTGCAGAGCAAGTGTGCTGCTGCTGTTCATGGTGTCTCAGAGACACCCAGTACAAAGCTAAGCATAACGTGGATTGCTCCCTTCTTGCCTCCTCCCTTTATTTGTGCTATGACTTAAAAATGGTTCTCTGCTAAATAAAATACTGTACTGTGGCTCTATTTTTTTCATGTACAGTTTTCCTTCAGTTTTTTTAGAGTTAATATTTAGCTCAGTTTTAGTTGCTTTTCATTACAGAATGCATCACAGAATTATTTCCTCCCAGCATAGGACACACTCTAAAATGCTATTTGATAAGTTTTCCCATTATTTCCAATATCTAATACCATTTTATATCAAACAGGTATTAATGTCAAAGGAGAAGCCACTTAAAGTTTATAGACAAATGGCTCTCTGGTTCATGTTCAGAAGCTGTCTTTAATTCCAACTGGTTGTGAGTCTTACAAAACAAATACAATAACAGTCTATTTCACAAAAATAGAATAAGTGGAAGACATTCCTTGTTAGGCAATGCATTTCCGGAATCACTTACAGCAACTGTACAACTGCATGCTGTCAGTGTATTGGAATGTCAGGGACTGAAAGACTGCACCATACTGAATTCACTGGCCAGCCCTCATGTCCGGGAAAGTGGGCTGTCTTGGTGACCTGGTCACAGACCTGACCTTGCTTGGAAGTGTGGAACCATGAAATAGGCAGCCCACCTAGCCTAAGATTAATCCTGTCTTTCTCGTATTTTTAGGACAACTTTCTGATTTTTGTAGATGAACTGTTTTTGTACCCACTTTGTTACAGTAACTTACTTAGTAATTTAGCTTGATACTTGGATATTAAGATGAAAAGTGTAAATATTACAAAGTAAAACTAGACTTGAAAAACTTAAACTACTTGTTTTTGGTTAGGTTTAAGTATGTGTTACTACTCGAGAAGACTTTGTAAGTAAATTAGCAAATATTTTTATGGATTGGGCATTGTATTTTGTGTGCTTTGCTGTTTCAGATATGGCTGTACCAGAACTTAATCAAACATAGCTCTGTGTTTGTCAAGCAGCTGGACGGAGCTGAGAGACTGACATGCTTGTTTCAAATCAAGAGGCTGATGAGCCTCTGTTGCAGGTAAATTCTGTTACAGTAACTTACGTAGTGTGCTGACCACCTCAGATGTCTGGGGAAACAGTTTTTGAGCCTTGTTTTCTGAGAGAATGGCTTTTCCGTAAGTTTTTTTGGGATAAGACATAAAGTACTCTGTATACTGTGGTTTTTTGCTCTAGGTAATTCTGACCCATATGACATGAAAATTGAAACATAGAAGATACAAAAGCATCTTCTAGATGATGTTTTATTGCAAGGATAACCTGGTACCAGGTGTGGTGGTGCATACCTGTAATCCCAGCACTCAGGAGACTGAGGCAGGGGGATTGCCACAAGTCCAAGGCCAGCCTGGGCTTCATAGTGAGTTCAGGGGAAGCCTGAACTATGCAACAAGACCCTACCTCAGAAAAAAAAACCCAAAAACCTGGAATTATCTTGTGAAATGTTAGGTGTCCTCATAAGTGCAGTGGGATGTGTGAGTTGAGGAGAAAGTGCCAAGAGGGTCAGAACAGCGGGAATGATGCTTCTGAGTGGGTGAGAGGACAAGTCATGACCTTGGGGAGGAGGGCAGCTATCCATCTTGTCAACAGCCAGGCAGGCCCTTGTGAAAAGAAGACTCCCGATGAGCAGTGCTCCCTTGAGAATACCATTATCACCAGGAATTCTGGTCACTGTGACATAGAGCCGCACACTCCTTAGAATGGTTGTGTTTTTTGGGTGTTTTTTTTTTTTTTTTTTTTTTTTTTTGGTCTTTTTCGGTTTTTATCGGTACCAGGGATTGAACTCACGACCGCCTGCTTGCAAGGCAGGCGCTTATGCCGCTGAGCTAAATCCCCAGCCCCAGAATGGTTGTGTTTTAAAAGTTAGGATGTGGAGCAGCTGACATCTCAGTTGTATCTGTTACAAATTTGGTGGTTTCTTAGAAAGCCAGAGCCGCTACTTCCCTGTGACCCAGGGATCCTCACCTAGGAGTTTTTGGACAGTGAAGGGGGCAGGCATGGAGTGTTTGTATAGCTGCCACCTGAACTGCATGTAGACGTCCCCTGTTGAGTACACACAGTGACCACTGCTGGCCAGGGGCTAGGACTAGGTGTTAGAGGTATGTTAGGTGCTATACTGCAAAGAGATGCTGTACGGGCTGCTCCTTCCTGCATAGCAGGTACTGTGGCCCCACTAATAGCTACAGAGAAAAACATTGAAAGGGGAGCAACTGGAGACGCTGAGAGCAATTTCTGGAGTGATGGGTTTGGCATGCCAGCTACGGCTGCCACTTGCTTCACATGGGTAGAGAATAGCATGTGTAAATCGGGACTCTAGAGTTTGTTTAAAGAAAAAGACGTCGAAACTATTTTTAAACTAGGTTAAATTTTGTGACAGCTGTGCCTCCTTTCTGGCTCTAATTCCTATTCATAAGAGGCAGCTTTGGTCAGAGGGACAGTCTCTGCCTCGGACTTTTGGGCCAAGGGCCGACTTGGAGGCCTGTGATGTGTCCTCTGAGGGCAGGTCAGTGTAGCTCCTCTAGAACATCTGTATGCCTGAACCACACACACACAGTGCATGCCATCTTTGGTGTGCTTGTGTGCTTTTCCTTCTGGGCATGTACAGTTTTTCCTGTCTGAACCTAATGAAGACTCTGAAGAAGCCTGAAGAGTAGCATCTGTCTTCTGTCTATCTGTGGATCTCTTCAGTCACTGTAGCTCCAGAATGGAGAGTCAGTTACTCACCATAGTAACTGAGAAGAATTTGGGGAAACTTTGGTAACTGGCCATCCAGCAAGTCTTGTTTTTCTTTCCTTTCTCCAGGTTGCTGCAGAACTGTACTGATGACAGTTTGAATGTTGCTCTCCCGATGCGGATGCTTGAGGTGTTTTCCTCTGAAAACACTTATTTGCCTGTCCTGCAGGATGCCGGCTACGTGGTGTCAATCATTGAACAAATATTGCACTACATGATTCACAGTGGTAAGCAGGGTGGGGCCACAACCTTGGGGTGACACAACAAGGTCCTCACAGGTCGGTGTGCTCTCCTGCAAGCACTGCCTTGACACCTTGCACCTGCAGAGGGGCCTACTGCTGTCCTGGGCCACCGTGAACTTAGGGAAGCAGACAGACTCACTGTGCCTCATTGTCTAGCATTAACATGAGAGTGAAAATTGCTTTTAGAAGTTGCTCCAGCCCTTGACTGTAGCTCATGTCTGCAGTGAGAGGGAGCAGGAGAACTCCCTGCATCTCATCATCTCCAGTGGGCTGGAGGGGTGGCACCTCAGTCTTATGGGCCATGCCATTTGAGCAACCTTCTTGCTACAAAAATCTGACCAAGTCATTTTCATTGAAAGAAAGCTAAGCTCTCACAAACCATACCTGAGCATAGTTCTTAATTTGCAGACGTGTGGGACACTATTTCTAAAAGAATATATGATTTGGACCATAGGTTTACTGCACAACCTAAAATTATATCAGATTCTTAGAAAAATGTCATGGAGGTAATTAGAGTTGTTTCTGTCCACATGAAGTCACCTTCAAACCAGTTCATTTTCTCAGTGCCCAGACAGATTCTGGTAGCTAGATATGTCAGTTTCTGTATTCGGAACCTAAGAGAGGAGGCTGTGGCAAGCGGGACTGGGAGTCTTCTCTTTGGTGGCATCCTGGCTTGAGTACATGAGGTGAGGTTGGCTGGCATTGACAGTGGTTAGTGCTGAGTAATGGGTACCTGGTGTCAGGGGGTGCCAATCACATGACTAATATGTTTATTTAAAGTTGTCCTTAGTAAAATGTTAGAAGAATTAACCTAAATTTAGAGCTGTAGAAATTTTGTAAAAGGGACTTAAAAATTAATGATTTTCTCCTTTGTCATAAGAAAAAACTTTAAATGTGTTTTTCCTTTCTCTTAGGATATTATAGGTCTCTTTATTTGTTGATTAACAGCAAGCTTCCATCAAGTATTGAATATTCTGATTTGTCTCGAGTTCCTATAGCAAAAATTTTGTTGGAGAATGTCCTAAAACCATTGCACTTTACATACAACTCCTGTTTGGAAGGTGCAAGGTGGGTAAGAGGAATCCCCGTGTCATGTCATAAAACCTGGCTCTCATAGTAACTTTCCATGGGATGCTGCTTTCTTTCTTTGTTTTGTTTTTGTGTTTTATTTTCAGTTTTATGAGCCAGGGTCTTGCTGTATAGTTAAGGCTGCCCTAAGACGATCCTCCTGCCTCAGAAAGTGCTGGGATTGCAGGCATGCACCACCACTAGGGTTGTTACTTTAAATACAGGCTTGTGAGTCAAGTTTTTACTTTGTTGCTATGGCTTAGTCCACAGGAACAGTTACTAGAGTGCTTTTCTTTATGGTTGAACCTAAAATTTCTGGGCCAAGGAAAGTAGCTCAGTGGCACAGCACCTGCCTGGGAAGCCTTGAGTTGAATTTGCAGTACTCCCCCAATCAACATTTCTGTCAGTATTGTTATTTTCCTACTTTGTATAAGCTGTGAGAAGATATAAAAATGAGGTTTTATTTCAAGATTATCTAATTGCTATTAAACAGTTATATTTAGAATGTAGATTGTTCAGAAAGGTATTTGGAAAAGCAATTGTAAGTATGGATTTGATGAACAGTTAATTTTGAGTCTATAGAAAGCTTCCGTTTTCCTTTCCAGGCAGCAAGTTTTCTCAGCCTTCACAGAGGAGTTTCTGGCTGCACCTTTTACAGAGCAGCTCTTCCACTTCATCATCCCGGCATTAGCAGATGTTCAGACCGCTTTCCCTTTTGCGCCTTTTCTGAATGCACTGTTGTTACTAGAGAGTAGATGTTCAAACAGGAGTGCTGGAGCACCATGGCTTTTCTATTTTGTTTTAACTGTTGGTGAAAATCATTTAGGTATGAAATCCCAGGCACATTTTACCCTAACTCGCATGTAGGTAGCAAGAGCAGATGACCAACAGAAGCCCTGGTGGGATGAGTGGGTTGTGGCAAAATGGTGTCCTGGGAGTTTCAGGGGGGCACTGTAGACAGACTGGTAGGGCCATGGCCTGGGGAGGGCTCGATGCATGGGCAGGCAGACATGTGGGGTAACTCTCCTGGGGTATATGGTGTTTGTAGTGTGCTTCAGGATGTTTGAGTGCAAGGAGACCTGGGAAACCCAGGCAGTTTCCAGCTTACTGGTTATACTGTCCGTCATGGAGGTTCCATACACAATGCCACCCCATGGTAAGTAGTGGCTTGGTATCTTATAATCAAGTTAGTGCTGACTGTACTTCCAGAGAAGGCTGGACTCCAGGGTGAGGCCTCAGTCTTATAAGCCCCACCCCTACTTGGGACCTGATTACACATCCTCCATAATCACCTGTGCTAATGACCAGCCAGTGAAACTGGAGTATACAGGCCCCACTGCGGCTTGCTTGTGTCCTAGGGCAATTTACAGAACTGAGAAAGATGCTGTGGCCTGCACTGCTTATTATGCTGGTGCATAACCAGGTGCAGAGATTCTGTCAGTCTTGCCTTCCGTCTGCCCTGGGAGTTGGGCATGCCAAACTGGTCCAGGTTGCCCCACTGGCACAGTGATCAGAGGTGACAAGGAGTCCTGCTCACTGTGAGCACATCGTGAGATGGGGACCACATGCACGTGTAGCATGCCACAGTGGAATTCAGACAGACAGACTATGTCTTACCTGGGAAGTGACACTAGCTAAGGAGGTAATGCCTGCTTATTCTGTAGGGACACTCTCTGAGGAGGGCCTGCTGGTATATCTACATGTGCTCCAGACCTTCCTTTCCCAGCTGCCTGCCTCGCCTGCCATCACCAGCTCCTATGACACCTCCAGCGACTCTGAGGATGAGAGTGAGGAGGCCGACCAGCCTACCACCCCAGTAAGCAGCACCTGCAGCCAAGGCTATCCCCAGGCGCTTTTCTTATTCTCTTCTGTTTTTGGTTAGGGTGTTTCTTACGATAAATACTGATTTGAATCCCAAATACACTTTGTTTCCATTTCCAGGTGAAGCATGTTTTCAGGGTGTCAGGAGGCACAGGGTGAGTGGGTGCTGTGTTTACAGTGCAGATAACTGCTCAGTGTGGAGTGGGCCAGAATGCATTGAGAACAGGGTGTTCCTTGCAGGGTTACTATGGGTAAATATGGGGTACAACTGAATGTTCTGCTGAGTGCTGGAATTGTCATATCAAAACCAGAAATAGACAGTCTTAGTGGTGCACATCTGTAATCCCAGCTATTCTGAAGGCTGAGGTAGGAGGTCTCCAAGTAGAAAGCCAACCTGAGTGTCTTATCCAGACCCTGGAGACATAGGTCAGTGGTAGAACAGCTATCTAGGATGCACAAGGTTCAGTTGCTAGAACTACTTTTTTTTTTTTTTTTTTTTGTCTTTTTCCTTTTTACTGGTACCAGAGATCGAACTCACGACTGCCTGCTTCCAAGGCAGGCGCTTATGCCGCTGAGCTAAATCCCCAGCCCCGCTAGAACTATTTTTTAAAAAAATCCCCAAAACTCAGAACTGTACAAACAAAAGTATGAATTTTGTTGTATGTCTAAAAAAGTGGCATTTTATAGATGGAATATAGATACGGTTTGTCTCTAGAAGAAAGTTAATATGTGAATAATTATCTCCCAGAGGATCTGTGAAAATAAAAATTTATTTTTATGCAATGTGCTTACTGTGCACATATTGCTGAGGGTATAGACTCTGTAGCCAGGGAGTGACAGACTTCCCTCAGGGATGTTCCTAGGGTAGCAGAGCATGGACACCTATGCAGGGCACCGGGCAAGGCCTCAGCTACGCTGTGGAGAGCACTGGCCTGGCTTACCCTGTGCTTGACCCCGCTGTCCAACCAAAGGGAAAGATTTCTTTATGAATTGTACAAAGTGTCACTCCACTCAGTTTTTTTAATAGGTATATGCTTCAAGGTCTACTTATGTCCAGCTTCACAGTTTATTTGTCTTTGTCATCTTTTTTGTTTTTCTTTGGCCTGAAGTATTGCCCTTTTTTTCCTGACCACAATTGAGTTGAGACACTATGTGACCTAGTTGTGAGCCAGGCACTGTTCTTTATTTCTGGCCCTGTCTTTTATGTTTTGGTTTACATACTGCCTTTCTCTACTGTAGTTCACTCTGTAGAACTTCATTTGGTTGTATAAGATTTTTTAGAGTCAGAGTTTGCCCTTTATAAAATTTTGTCTTACAGTTGAATGTTCTGGTGGATGCTTATAGTTTCTATGTCATCTGTTCACCTACTATGTATAGTTTATTTTTAAATTATACACTTCAAAAGTAGTACCTGTTTTGTAACATCTTTTTACATGCATCTTAAAAATTCAACTTTAACAGATGAAATTTATGATTTGTAACCTAAAGCAATATTGTGCTTGGTAAGTTACATATATGAAAGTTTCTAAGTCATATAGCAAGCAGTATTTGAAATTTCACATGTTCTTGTTTACATTTGTGAAAGCGTGTATTTTTGATTAATGCCCGAAATGAGTGTGCTGTGTGGCATAGTGTCTTAGGCTTTGTTCAGCAACTTAAAACTTGTTCAGGGCCTCACATCTTCTAGAGAAATCATAAGGTATCAAACAGATTTTTTATTATGTATCTTTATATCCTTTGATAGTTCCCTATCCAGTAGTACACACCTTTGATTCCAGCTACTCCGGAGGCAGAGGCAGACAGATTGAAAATTGAAGTACAGCCTGGAAAATTTAGTTCAGACACTTTCTCAAAAGGTGATGGGGCAGGGTCGTGAATTCAATCCCTGGTACCAAAAAAAAAAAAAGTATATAGTTTAGTATAAAGCCCTAGTTGTAATCTTCAGTACTGAAAGATTAACTAATTCATATTTTCTTTAAACTGTGATCCCTCAAATAATATAAAGTGGAAATGCTCTCTTACTACAACTCAATCTAAAATATTTGTAATGCATTTTTCTTAAAGTGTAAATACTGAAAACATGTCATTGGCTAGCAGAAACCACACAGTTACAGTTCCTGTGCTATCAGGCTGGGCACAACAGATGCCAGGAGGTAACTAGAGCTCTACAGGATGCCAGATGGGCTGAGAGTGTGTTAGGGTCACCGTGTCTGATGTGGGTAGTTGTCACACTGGCCTGCTTCTTATCTTCTCTGTGGGGGAGAGGGTGCCTTGGAGCATGGCTGGTGCTCAGACCCCTGTCCTGGTTGTTTCAGGAGGACGGCCGGCTGTCCACTAAATATATCACTGAGGAGTGTCTCAAGAAGCTGGACACAAAGCAGCAGACCAACACCCTGCTGAACCTGGTGTGGCGGGACTCGGCCAGTGAGGAGGTCTTCACACGGATGGCCTCCATCTGTCACACGCTAATGGTGCAGCACCGAATGATGGTGCCCAAAGTCAGGCAGGTCTCCTCAGTCCCATGCATGCCTACCTCTGCTGTCATCACTTTATAGCCAGTATTTCCTGATAGGGCCAGATGTAGAATATTGAGTTCTCTAGGCACTTTGTAAAAAATGAAAGGTTTTTTTTTTTTTAAACTATTAATCTAGTTGACCTCTTTTTCCTGGCACCCTGTATGCATATTAAACCAGCGGTTTGTGTAGTGTGTTTTTTAAAAGGCAGGAGCTCATTAGTGTCTATTTCAGGCTGGCCTTGAAATCAGCCTGGCCTCAAACTTTCAGTGATTCTCTTGCCTCAGTCTCCCAAGTGCTGGGTTTACAGGCATGCGCCACCACCCCTGGCTGTGGGCATCTTATGAGGAGAGTTTAGTCCTTGCCACACAGCTATAACTGAAACATTAGGCTCCTGCTTGCGTAGTAGAAACAGTATATTCTGCTTTTCACCTTTTCTATAGTACCTTTGTTATCAGGTCATCCTTGGAAATTTAGTGAGTATTTTATTTTTCAAGGCTTTAAATATACTTGGTTGAGATGAAGCAAAATGTTCAAGTTTGAATTTGTAGCTAATTTGGTCTTAGGGATGTGTGACAGTGATTCTGAACTGTTTTGGGTCCTCCTATCTGGAGCAGTGGTTTCTGGAGCACCCATAGAGAAGGCTTTTAGCTGCTTTGTGACCCTCTGTGGCAGCTCTGCTGGGCCTGAGAGCCCGGTGTCTCAAGGCAGATTGCAGACGACACTGCCTGCCAAGAAACAGGTCCCATGTGGATTCTTGCCACATTGGCAGAGTAGTTCTTGTTGTCTGGGACACAAACCAGGAGCGTGCTGTCGATTGGAATTGACTGATAAATATGGCGCCACCGTCTGGCATCCTAGGCAGAGCTCGCTGCTATTTAAAAGACCCACGGAGGAAGTCAGATGCCATAGCACTGTGACCCCAAGGGGCCATGCATGAGCTCTTTGTGGGTGGAACAGGAGCTGGGACCCCTGCTTTTATTGTGGCCCTGAGTTCATTACCATAGTGGAATGACTGCTACACATGAATGCATCGCTGTGCTGGCTGAGATTCATTGATGAACTGCTTCTTAAGGTCCTTAATGGCAAAGCAGCTCTCTGGGCTCAATCTTATGAGCACATCCTTGTTTCCTTGAAGAAACTGCTCTACCAACTACTTTATTTATTGTTTAGATATATTAGATTTTAAGTATATTCAGGGTGTTTTTCATAGCTCCTGAAACAGCAGGTAGGCCTAAATTAACTTTTGTAGTTTCAACTGGCTTCAGTTTTTTAGAAAGCATTAAAAAGTTCATTAGTATACTGCCAGGCTGGTAATTCATCCTTGACTTCTCCCTGCCTAATGTCAGTCCCTCTTATGGTCATGGTTGAGATTTGCAGTTTTAATGTCTGATACTGATCATTGAGAGTATAAAGGGATCTGTAGGCCCTTTCTGCACCAACAAAGGAAGATTTCTAAGACAAATGTGTGCATGAGAAAAATTGCTAGAGAGCAGTACATGTAATTACCTACTCTCACATAAAGAGGACAGATAAAAATGTATGTGTGAGGACCTGCAAAAGTTCTGTAGGACTTCAGGAAAGCCGTGGCCTTTAGTAAATGTGCAGAGTGGGCTATTTTGTTGGTGTTGGGATTAAGTGAATGACTTAGAATTTTTAAGTTACGTATTAAATGAGTTGTCAGGTCCTTTATTGAAAGGAAATTTCTTATTGTGGGACTTGGAAATCTGTATAAAATTTGGCTTTAAAACTATTTTTTCTTTGGGCTGGAGATTTAGCTCAGTGGTAGAGATAGCATGCTAGAGGCTCTGGTTTCCATCCCCAGCGCTGCAAAAAAAGATGTTTTTGCCCTTAAGAAAGTATATTCACTATTTAAAATACAAATTAGTACAAGTGGTTGTGTGTAGAAGGCTCCTGTCCAAAGTAGCAAGGGTGTTAGGCAGATCTGAAAGGCAGCTTTTGTTTCTGGTACGGCTGTTCAGGGCCATCCAGAATGTGCCTCTAGAGCAAATACACAGGCTCCGCGCCTTTCCTCAGCTGTCCTGCCACCTTAGGTGCACTGCTGCCTCTGACCAGCCAGATGCCGGGGTGGGGACCCCATGGCTCACCGTGGGTAGCTTGCCTGTGCAACCTTTTATGGCCTCATCCTTCCTTCCCTGACTCTTTCCCAACTCACTCAGACACCATATTCCTGTGACTTTTCTTTCACTTTTGACTTCTGCTGTGTTTGTTTCATGGGTCCTTTGTGTCCAGTATTGTTTCCTTTTTCAGTTTTTCTTCTCTTTTCGTTGGTTCTCTTGGTAATCTCTTTCAGATAAGTAGCTTCAACCATATTCAGTGACCCCCACTCTTTTTCTGTGTCACAGTAACATCTCGGAACTCTATGATCAGCTGCAGGTGAGAGAAATGTCTCTCAGGACCTGTAAGATTCCTGCTCTTCATTGCCCCATGAATCCCTTTCTGTGCCCATGCTTATCGGTGGCCCCATTATTCACTGTATCCTCTGTGCCTACCCTGTAGCTGTGGTCTCGTGCATGTAGATTATCCACTTTGTGCATGGGCTCAGACCCGTGGTCACCCTAGACTACTGAGAAGACTGGAGTAGGTCTGGTCTTTGGCTGTCCCTGTTCTAGGACCTAGGCTTAGACCTATTTCTTCAGGGTTCCTTGTGCATTTAGGTGCCATGGTGTTGGAACTGTATTCTTTATATGTTTTGCTGCACTGAATTGTCAAAAATATAGCTCTGATAATTTCATTCTTCTGCTTAAACCTTGCAGCAGCTCCTCTTTGCTTTCAGGACAACATGACATTCTTTGGATTATTTATTTGTGTGGTATCTTTTTATTGTGAAGTATTTTATCATTACCTCTCTAACTTTGTTGCTAGCCTCAGAATACTTTTTGCTGCAGTCATATTTAATTACATGCATTTTATTGGTCTTATCGTGCTGTCTTCCTGCCTCTCCTCTGAGCGTATGGTCTCTGTCCATAGGTTGTTTTGTTTTGTTTGGTTGAAATTGGTACAGAACTTCAGGGCAGGATACCGGGATACCAGTTATAGGTTCCATAGTGTATCTTGTTATCTTCACAGTAGTTGTACATTCAATCAGGTATAGCAAAATCAAACCAAAAACAGAACACTATAAAACCAATCAAAACACGATATTGAATAGAGCAAGACAATTAATCAGAACAAAGCAAAACAGTGAAAACATTTGCCTTCAAAGAGAAGACAGAAGGAAATCCCCCATATTTGCTATACTACACACTGTCATTCTCCCAAGAGATGCTCAGACCTCTGACTTCAAGTCAGCATAATCAACCCAACAATACAAGCATTTAGTTGCTTTATGTGCCTTAGTTGCTATCAACTCTGGCTGTCCTCAGCACCATCCAGTTGCTAAAGGGGGTGGGGTGGGACTTTTGATTCTCAGCCCGCACACCAGTAGGCTGACTGTTCTCTCCCTGGTGCGCACACTGGTCATTCACACCACCAACCGCTTACGAGGAAGGAGGGAGTGTTGCTTTCTTCAGCCCTCCAAGTTCCAGCATGACTGGATCTTGGGGAACACTGACTTATTCCCCAAGTGTTTCTCCTTCCTCTGTAAGTGAAGGGCAAGTGATCTTTGAGGCTTGGCTCCTTGTTCCTTTGATGGATCCAAAAGCTTTGAATTGGAATCTTAAAGGTAGTATGCAAAAGACCAGGAAGTATTATAATTTACTGTACTTTTCTTATAGACACATCCAATCAAAAGGCATCAACATGTGCCAAACTTTTCCACCAGACCCTAACAGGATGAGGCAGCCTGATGGCAGCTGTGTTATTAATCACTGTGATTTAGACTGCTCTGTGCCCTGCAAGAGTGACACTGTCTTCCTTTACTTTTTCTCAGCAGTTCTACACAATAGCAACAAGGACTCTTCCACTCTTGATGTGCAAGTTCACATCTCATGCTTTATTAACTTGGGAAAAGTGATTGTACCAGTAGCTTTAATGGAGGAAAAGACAAACATGTTTCATTACATGTGTACAATTAAATGCTATCTGCTGTTCATGTGATTTATAAGCAAAATTTCACATTTTTGAGATAATATTGAAGGTGTTTCTGGAGAGAGAAATAAATTTATTTCTTTGCCTATTATTTCATGATGGCCTCTTATTACTGGTATTTTCAGTGTAATCAATAAATTAAGCCAACTACTGATTCATGTTAAAATTTTTGTTCTTTTTTATCAAGTTCATATAAAACTGATAAGTTTTAAAACATTTAAACATAGACAATGATTTTAAGTCTTTTGTAGTGAGTTTTGAAACTTAAGTTTCTAAAGGTTTATAAATGGTAATTGAGTCACAGAAAGACATAAGTAGACTTAAAAAATGTGCACCAGAGTTATTTTCAATTCCCATCCGTTTAAGTTTGCTTTTAAGAATTGTGTAATTAGGGGCTGGGGATTTAGCTCAGCGGCATAAGCACCTGCCTTGCAAGCAGGCGGTCGTGAGTTCGATCCCCAGTACCGATTAAAAAAAAAAAAAAGTAAAAAAAGAATTGCGTAATTAAACAGTGAGGGAAGTTTTCTGCCATTACTACTTTTTAAAAAATTATCAATAGTTCATATATGTTATCTTCAGAATAGTTGCTCAGATTACAAAATATGGGTGTGCAAAATTGGTCAAACAATGTAAGCACAAACTGTGCTTTTTAATGAACTAAAAGAAATTAGTAGTATGACTGTCTTACATATCTTATATGGGTGTGTGTGTGTGTGTGTGTGTGTGTACATATTTTCTCTGCCATTACTATTTTTTGGTAGTCATGACCTTGCACTTGCCAGGCAGGCATGGTGCCACTGAGCTGTATCTTCAGCCCGTCTCCGCCATTACTTTTGTGAACAGGTTATTATGTCCTTTGTGCTATCTCCTGAGTTTTCATTGATTTGGAGCAATTTTCTGTTGTTCTTTGCATCATCTAGCAGCTGCTGTTGTGTTGGATTGATTTTTTTGTGGACCCTTGCTATTTTTAAGAAGTCTTTCTTTCTTTTTTTTTTTTTTCATAATTTAAAGAGGAAAACAGAAAAAGGGTACAAGTAATACAGAATTTCAAAAAAATAAACAGTAAGACATCACTAGTTAATAGATTACATATTGTCATCTTAGAAGAATTCTTTCTTTTCATGGTTCTAACCACAAACCTGTCTTCTAGATCTGATATTCTGTCCTCACATTGGTTCATTCTGCTGCATTAACTTTCTGTAGAATTTTTAATTTGGATATCTGTTTGAATCTGTTTCTTGGAATCCATTTCTTTCCTATCTTGGGCATTCCTAGTTTCTCTCATTTTCCTAAGCTCCTCTATTTTTTTTTTTTTTACATGTTATCTAGTCTAGGTTCACTAATCATATCTTTCATTATGGTGATCATCTCTTCATAGTTATCTGACAAATTATTATTATTTTTTCTAGAGCCTCATTCATCTGTTAATTACAGTGTTACCATTTCGGAGATTTCAGATGGCAAGAAATAGTGAGGGAAGGGAGTGTCAGAGACCGTCCTAGGTGGGGAGCATTGCTTTTTCCCTCATTTTCACTTACGCTAAAGTAGGCAGGAAAGTATATTTTTGAGTCTGTTAATAACACAATTAAACTAGTAAGACGGAAGCTTTTTATCTGACCTGATTATGGCTTTAGTACTGGAAACTTACATGAAAGTGGCTGTATGTCTAAGAGTATCTTCTGTTTTTAACTCCTAGGGTCTCAAAGGTTTTTGGCAGCTTGCTTTAAAATGAAATGCATCTTAAAACATTATCATTAAAGAAAGTTTTAATTGTGCATTCTCACAGGTGAATTTTTCTGTATTTATTTTAATGTTGCTTTTGCCAATGTGATTATTTCAGAAGAAAAGTACAAAATCTTACATTTGTGAAGTGTCTAGAAGACACAGGAGGGTCTTGATGTCCTATTGCATTTCAGAATCTGTGGCACTGTCCTCACTATAGGACTCCTAATTGTGGGACACCTGGCTCTGTGTTCGCTTCAGTGACCTGAGCTGGAATTGTTGCTCTCCAGTAATTAACTCAGGGTTGTTACTGCTAGATCAAGTTTATTGGGTAATTTTTAATCTATGCCAGTACATGGAAAGAATCTGTTACTTCTTTTCTTGCTCTTGGAAGTAAAGCCCCCAAGCTAATTAAATTTGTAATTTAATTAAAAAGTTTAATGATTTATTATAGCCTATTGAATGATTAATTTCATAAACAGAATTATTTCAAAATTAGTCTCAAATATAACCACTGAAATGTAAATAAAAATGTTTCAAAAATATATACATGTTAATTATAATCAGGGAAATTTATAAGAGAATATAGGGAAAACTCATGTATATGTGTGTGTGTATACACACATGCGTACACACAAAACTATCTGACTGAATTTATAGCAGGATATTAACTTTCTGAAAGAGTGAAACAAAATGCTACTTTTTGTGTGTTTTGCTTTGGTGGTGTTTTCTTTTGAAGAGCTGTAAAGAGACAAGCTTGTAAAAAAATAGGTGAAATTACACTAAATGATACATTTTTGGAAAAGAACTTAGTGTTTTGATTTTAGAGAAATAAAATAAGCAAATGTTATCTACTAGATTCTTTCATGTAGAAAATTTATATTTTCATAACTTTTGTATTTTTCATGTGACTATTGGGTATAGTTCTCAGCCAAAGTTCACAAAAGCAAAAAAAAAAAAAAAGAAAGAAAGAAAGAATATACACACATTTATGTGCAATTTTATATTTACATATTAGGCATATGTCTGATATGAAGTATGTATTCTTTTTCACTACCATTCCAGTTTTCAACAGTCTGGTCTTTTGAAGTGAAATTTAGTGTGTAATAATGGGGAGATGGTATATTTAATGTGGTCTTCTTTAACTTGTTATTGCCATTTTTTGTTATTCTCATGAGAGAGAGAGTGTGTGTGTGTTACTGAGAACTGAACTCAGGGTCTTATGCATGCTAGGCAGTCTAGTACGATTTTTTAAACTTCTCAGGCTGATGCTGCAACACTTGCTCTGTTGAGCTTTCCTGTAGAGTTAGAGTGGTGTGCTCAGGACTTTGTCACAGTCATGCCTCTGCTAAACATATACACTTTTATAAATTTATAAGGTGTTTTGAGCTGGGAAAGACTTTAGTTTCTGATGCAAACAGATAGCTTTTGGCCTGAATCGCAGTGGAAGAGTGGGTGTACTGAGTGGTACAATAGATTCCCCCCGCCCCCAAGAGTTCGTGATCTAGGTAAATCTCACTCTTCCCTGCAGTTGCTATTTTTTTTAGTTTATACTCTTAGCGTCATTTGGACAACTTGAAATGTGCCAGTCTACAATGAGATTGGAATTTTGTAAAAGCCAGTAAGTATTCTATAATCTTAATTGTGTACTTAGAAAGTGCTGATACTGAACAATGCATATAATATTTTGGGTTAAACACTGGAAATTACTTCACCAGATTTAATGGTTTTTTTACATTGCAAAGTGCCTTGTTACTTGTCTGCCATTGTGGGTTTGGTTTGGTTTTATTTTATTTTTAATTTAATTTAGTTTTTTATACCAGGGATCAAACTCATGACCTCATGTTTGCCAGGCAGGCACTTGTGTTGCTTGAGCTAAACCCCTGGTTCTACTATGGGTTTTTAAATCACTGCTTTTCTGAAGAATGTAGTCCTCTAAAATATTTTATGTTACACTTGTTATAGGACCAACAAAAATTCAATCCAGAGGCAATTGCAGGTCTACGCTAGATAGTGATTTTAGTTAGATGATTAGATTGCTGTTCATGTATTTCCATGCTAAGAATCAGACACTTCTAAAAAGACCCCTGGGCCTGGGGACCCATGATGAAAGTAGCCTGTGCCTTCTCTGCCACAAGCTGATTTGTGGCATCAGAGTCACACAGCTCCTGTTTCTCTAAGCCTCTATGTAAGAGAGTAACATTGGCCAGAGGTGTTTACCGAGGTTTCTGCAATTCTGAAAAGCCCAAGTGTTGGCTTTAGACACAGTATCACTCAAGAAACATGGGGAAAGTCGGGCATGGTGGCACGCCCCTGGAATCCCAGCATTTGGGAGACTGAAACAAGAGGATCACTTGCAAGTGGTCCTTAGTACAGCCTAGACCACACAGTTCAAGGCCAGTCTGAACTAGATAGTGAGACTTTCTCAGAAAATAAAACACGTGGGAGACCAAATATGTTGACAGTTAAAATTCATAGTCCTGTTCCTACAATATTGCTGTGCTGAAGTTTTCACACCTGGGTCATTCCCAACACTTCTCTGTGTCCACAGTGAGAAAGTACATTCTTAGTTGTGTATACTAAACCAGTAGGAATTGTTGTTCTACTTTCTGTTCTTCTAAAATGCTTCTAGTAAAACATTCTTTTCTAAAAACCATGTTTCATACTGTTCTCAACCTGTTCCTTCACTGTGATTTCATGTCACATGTTTAGATTTTGTTTTTGATGGCTGTACTTTACCTCTAGATAAGCAACTAGAACATGTGTCCTATCACAGCAACACATTCCACAGTCCATTTATACCTACGTCCTCATAAAGGTCTTAATCGGTTTGATGTTACAGAGAATGTATGTAACAACAAAATCCTATAAAATCTGTTTTTAAACTGGGTGTGGTGGTGCATGCCTGTAATCCCAGCACAGCACTTTAGAGTCTGAGGCAGAAAAATCACAAGTTCAAGCTGAGGTTGAGTAACTTAGTAAGACTCTACCAGAAATTATATAGGGTTGAGGAGGTAGTTCAGTGCAAATGCCCTAGGTTCACTCCCCAGCAAACCAAGAGGTATTTTTGAAGTCTTGAACATAATTTCTCTGTTAAGAAGTCAGGTGTAGGGGCTGGGGATTTAGCTCAGCGGCATAAGCACCTGCTTGCAAGCAGGTGGTTGTGAGTTCGATCCCCGGTACCGATAAATAGTTTAAAAAAAAAAAAAGAAGAAGTCAGGTGTCAGGCTGTTAGTATTTTACATATGCTGAATGTGGATTAGTAGTGTCAGTGTGGCATGACATTGCAGTTCTTTAACATGCTGTGCTGCTGGGGTGCAGTGGGGCCTAGCTCCTGTGAAGCATCCCCAGCATCAGCACAGGACTGCCCTGGCTTGATGATATTTGCTGCTTGCAGGTGGCCCTAGCATGTGGCTTTTGTGGCATTAGTGGGGCTATTTTCTGAAGTGTACCTTGTTTTCAGTATATAGCTGGGAACTTGGGATTCTGTTTTTGTTTTGTTTTTAATAGGTTGAATAAATATTTGCTCATTGCATTTGTTCTCACTTGCTCCCATTTCATTTCAGGCTTCTCTACAGTTTGGCCTTCAATGCCAGGTTTCTGCGGCACCTTTGGTTTCTTATCTCTTCCATGACAACACAGATGATCACAGGGTATGTGTTACAGATATAAAGGAGGCCCCCAAAAAAGAATGTTCTGAGGTTATGTTATATTAGAAGGCAATCTTGAATAGCCTTAATTTCATGAAAAAGAAAAATAATTCTAGTAGTATGTCTTTTTCTGAAGGTAAATGTTTTTAAATTGTCATTTGACTGCTGTGTGTGTGTATGTGTGTGGTAACCAGGAATTGAACTCATGACCTTGCGTTTGCCAGGCAGGTGCTTATGCCACAGAGGTATATGCCCAGCCCTTAAATTGTCATTTGAAAATTTTCATTCCGTTTGATATTGTTACTGTATACTTTTGACAGTGAAAATGGATTTGATGCAAGTTTAACCACACTATAAACATTAAAACAGAGTGGAAGGCTGGTGTGGTGGCATGTGACTGTAGCCCCATTACTTGAAAGAGTGAGGCAAGGAGGATCTGGAGTCCCAGGTGGGCCTGGACAACATAGTAAGACCTTGATTAAAAGAATCTTTTTAGCCAGTGTAAAACTTTGTTCAAATAATTTGATTTTCTGCATATGAACTGTTGTATAACCTGAAAGCTAGTGTCTTTACATACATATTTTTAATTGAATCCATAACAAGTACAAATTTCACATTTAAAAATCTTTCCTGGAAACCTGACTTTACACACACCATATTGTGTAATTTTTCTCATCAGTCTGCAGTCTAAAACTGCAATACTGTGATATTAGAAGATGAAGTGTGTAACTCATTTAGCTGGACCCTTTAAGTTGCAACTGAATGGGCTGTCTACTGTCCTGTAAGGACAGTAATTGCAGACCAGGTTGCTGGGAGCCAGGACACCCTGCTCAGGGAAGGCCCATCTTGGTGCGGATGAGAGGACAGGCAGCTAAAAGAGAGAATATTCAGTAGGTCAGATGTCCAGAATCCAACGTGCACGCACCTGTCTGTGGTCTGATGCACAGCAGGATGCATCAGGTGTGCAGGACATGAGGCAGTGTGCCGTGTGAGACATGTCGGGTGTAGAGGCCTTAGCTGGGGCAGGAGGTGTCGCAGAGAGACCCTCTCATGCCAGTGCCCCCTTCATCAGTCACAGTGCTCCCACCCTTTGTGCCCTGAATCATGTTCACATCATCAGCCTAAAGCCACCTCTAAGTATAGAGGAGAGTGTCAGTTTATGGGCAGTTTCTTTGGATTATTTTTGTGGTTTTTATTAAATGTGAATGAACTCCAGTGAATAAAGAGCAGTATTTTATGAAGCCCCTGTGACTGGTGAGACTCAAAGGCTCATTGATTTTTCTTGAATCAATAGTCACTTAGAAAAGCTTGATATCTGGAAAGATCGTATATAGAAAAAAGGCTCAGTCCATGTTTGTTCTGTTATGGTTTGGGGACACTTCGGCCATGTCTAGCTGTGCCAGTGTTGCTTTTGTGAGTGACAGGTTTATTTAGGGTGAAGGGAGATTGGGATCATTAGGACAGGAAATTGTCATTTACCTGTGAGTACTCCAGCTTAGCAACGGGGACACTGCCTTGCTCTGCCTGGTGATTGCTTCTTTGTTTATGGCATTTGTCTCTTGGTAAGGAAATGGAATCATGATGTGTGAAAGAAAAATGAGATATTGTTAATTACACTAAATTATTAATATTGTGTAAAGTGATAAAGACATAGGTTGTGGAAAACCTTTTTTCTTGAACAGCACTTGAGAAATATGTTTCTTTTGTTTAATTTACTAAAATAAAATTTCTGAAGAAACTTGTAGTATATATTGGTACATTTGTAATGTGTCTGATTGTATTTACTGTTGGGAAGAATATTTTAAATTGAAGTGCCTGGCCAAGTGTGGTGGTGCACATCTATAATCTCAGCACTTGAGAGACTGAAGCAGGAGGATCACCACAAGTTTGAGGCCAGCATGAGCCGTCTGCGTAGTAAGTTCAAGGCCAGCCTAAACTACGTAGTTAGATCCTATCTAAAACAACAAAACCATGGAAGTGCCTGATGGTTTGCAGACAAAATGAATATAATTTGAAGTTGGTTTCACTGCTGGACTTGCAGCTGGGACTCTGTGCTGGGGAAGAACAGGGTCTCAAGGTAGACAAGCTGCAATGAAAATTCCTTGGGTCCTTTTCCAAGACAGGCAGGGCTGCCTATCTCCAATTGGGTGGTAAGCAGCTGTTTGGGTGCATGAGACATTCTGCAAGTGATGTTTTGGTTAGCGTACTCCATTTTCAACTTTTGCTTTTGGAGTAGAGTGGTTCTGTGTCCTGAATCTCTATGTGATGAGAACTCCCAGCCAGCTGGTTACTGTTCCCTGTTAGGCATCCACTTTCCTAAACATAACCCACAGGTGCTCTGCCCACATGAGAAGTTCAGGCGCAGGACATAGCCCTCTTGGAGGAGGCTCATGGAGTGGGCAGGAAGCTGTGGAAGTGTGGCAGGCTGGCGGGATCCTTATAGGGTGCACACTGTCCTGCCAAGGTTGGTCTCTGATTCTCAGTACTTCAACCAACTTCCCTAAGTTACAGACCACTTGCCATTACAGGAAATGGTGGACCTCTCATTTGCTTCCAATTCTGGGGTTGTCCTGTTTCCCAAGGAATATTTGAGTAGGTACCTAGAGTAAGAAGCATGACTGGCAGAGAGCCCAAGGCCCAATCCACTTCTTCGCAAGCCTGGCCCTGCTGCCAAACTGTTCTCTTATGGAGGAAAAAAGGACAGATTACTTTGCTCAACACCTGGGATTAAGGAGAACAAATTTGTTTATGTTGGTTAAGTACTCTGATCTTTCTCCCTATGTCATTTTCGCAGCACGTAGTGCAGCTACCCTTTGTCACTTTTTATATGCCCCTGCTATGTTTTATTTTGGATGGACAGCTTTCATTCATTCATCCATGGCCTTGTTCAGTAGGGTTGGATGTGGGAGGCTTCTGACTGCAGACTTGTCCTGCGACATATGCCACAGGCCCTGGCAGAACTGTTGAGCTTGCTTCCACCCTGCTCTCACAGGTCCCGACCCCTGACTCCTATCAAATGCACACCTGTGGTTTTGTGGGAGTAGAGATTCAGGAGGTAAAGAGGGCTGTCACCACAGGTCTATTAACTCATCACTGGTCCAGCACATGTAAGGACCTGGAGTTTCATGGGGAACCTCTTACTAAGTGTTCCACAAGATGGTGAACCAGACTTAGAGAAGAGGCAAGTAAACTGAGTAAGTCATAACTCTAGGATAACTTTTCGGTTTTGCTTTTTAAATTTAAATAGGATCTGAGTTATATAGCCCAGGCTGGCCCTAAATTTGTGATCTTCCTAACCCTGCCTCCAAAGTGAGTACTGGGATTACTGGTATGCACAGTTATTCCCTGCAGATCATAGCTTTTCATGAGAAAAACAATCCCATCTCCTGAGATGGCCCCACTATGCTGCTGTCAATGTGCTCAGTGGCCCCAGAGGAACAAGGTGCCAACCTGTGGGCAGGAGAAAAGAGGCCCAATGACGAGCAGAAGCTGCTTTCCTGCAGGGTCTACTTTGGCTTCAGGATGAAACCATCTTAATCACTCCTGAATGGAGGGAGCCAGATAAATTTTGTGTGACAGAGAAGTGACCTTTGTCGGTGCCCATTGAGGGAAAGGGCTGGTTTTCCTAGTAGGAGTGGAGCCCAGGTGTCTTAGGGCAGGTCTCAGTCACTACCTGTCCCTTGGTGGAAGGACAGTGAGTTGATGTGCTGGTCCTCATTAATCTATGCCAGTCCCTACCTACATTTTCCTGGTGACAGCACCTTGCCTTTGAGTAATTTGTTAGTGTAAATGTTGTAGTCTGGATGTGTTTGTCTGATAGTTTCTCAGTGAGTACCTGAACTAAGGCTAATCCTAAAATGTTTTTAATTCTTTCTTTCTTCCTGACTCAAGGTCCACAGTGCCGTTGCTCCAGGTGATATCCCGGGGCTCACCCATGTCTTTTGAAGACTCAAGTCGAATCATCCCACTCTTTTACCTCTTCAGCTCTCTGTTCAGTCATTCACTGATTTCCATACATGATAACGAATTTTTTGGTGATCCTATAGAAGGTAAGCATTTTAAGGAATCAGGTTATGGTTGCCCACATGGCCTGTCTGTTTTTATAGATTTGGAAAGGTTCCAAGCCTTGCAGCCCCTCACTGTGTATTGAGAAGTGGAGAAACAAAAAACAGGAAACCTGTGTCCCACAGTTGGCTTGCACTCAATTGCAGGTCAGAGGCAATCGTCCATGATGCCTTTCACGCTGGAGGAGTTGGTCATGCTGTCTCGCTGCCTTCGTGATGCCTGCCTAGGAATCATCAAGCTGGCCTACCCGGAAACAAAGCCAGAGATTCGCGAGGAATACAGTGCTGCCTTCCGGAGCATCGGTGCCACGACCAGTTCTGAGATGCAGCAGTGCATTCAGAGGGAACAGAAACGCTGGGTTCAGTTATTCAAGGTGTGTGGCGGACACATTTTGTCATGAACTGAGTTGAATGATACACATATTGTTTTGGCTTTATTCTTTTCAGAAGAATAGAAATACACAGATTTGCTTGTAAAATTTTGTTTTTGACACAGGATCTCACTGTGCATTTCAGTCTGGCTTTGAACTCAGTATGTAGCTCAGGCTGCCCTCAAACTTAAGGTGATCCTCCTGTCTCAGCTTTCCACATGTTAGGATTAGAGACATGTATCACCACTCCTGGCTTAAAAATTATTTTTAATTTTCAAAACCTTTAAAGGACAGTAATCTTTATTTTTTTGTAAATTGTCCTCAGTGATTTATGTGCCATGGTGAAATATAAATACAAAATTTTAAGCATTTTTATTTTTCACCAGATACTTTTTTACAGATTTTATGGCTTCAAAACATTAAACATTAATTGGCCATTAAGTTTTAATACAGGTTGTGTATAAATTACCCTAAACATGTTTGTTTTTAACCAGACAGAAAAGGATCTATGAGTGGCCATGGCCAGACTGTTGGCAGGAAATCACCATCGTTGAGGATAGTACTGATGGGGGAGAGAAAAGAGAAAAGGGCGCTTGACTTCCCATGAAATTTCTGCAGCAAACACATCTAGTCAGCTAAAATTGCTCATTAAAGGAGTAAGAGCAGAAGAAATGCATTTTCCAAATTGAATGCTAGATTTACAGTCCGTTTAGTACCAGCGACCCCTCACACACTAATGTTCAGCTCGAGTCATCAGCTGTCCCCTCAGGTCTTTTATCACTGCTTTTGTCAAGCTATCTATTTAATTGAAAGAAGTTAATTGAATGAAAATGATCAACTAAGCTTGTATTAATATTGCTAATGGAACTTTCTTCTTGGCCATGTTTGGAGAAAGATGTCAAGCTAGACTTTAGGAAAGGCCCATTAATGCTTGCACTTAACCTGATGGGCTAATTAAGGAATGCTTATTCATCCTACAAGTCTGTGAGAGTCTCTCTGCAGCCCATTCTGCCTGATTTTACAACACATTTCACTTAGGAGCATGAGCATTAGCTGCAGTGAAAGTAACTGATAATGTTTTGATTGTGTGAATACAGTACTAATGCATCATTGAATTCATAATTCGTACAGATTGATGTAATACATGTTTGCACAATTTGTTTTAATTACCTATCTGTGTTCCTATGTAAACCTTAAAGGTCACATGTTGAGCCCTTAATATGTCCTTTCTTGAAGATTGGCAATTTTGCAGTTTCTCTTAGTTAAATATAAGCTGTCATGCCTATATGAGACTTATAATTCTCGTGTAAGCTTTTCCTAGGTGTGGGTATTATGGTGGCATATGTGTTATCCTGTCAATATCCTGATTTAATTAAACTCTGAGATCCTTGCTAGTAACGCTTTCTGTTAGGCAGGATAATAGGTTCTGTATACAGTAGCAAATAATTTCATTATTTTATAGCACCTGTTGAGAGCTCTTTAATTTCATATAATAGGCTTATCTTTAGGACATAGAAATCTCTGAATTTAATAATGCTATATAAGATATTTTCCTTCTTGGCAGTTTTGTTTTGCTTAAGCATTAAATGAAATTTCCTAGGGCAATTTTTTTATATGTCTCAGAGTGATTCATTGCCTTCTTACTAGTTATTGAAGGATTTAAGAATTAGGTGAAAGTTCACTTTTTAAAAAATCTATTGAGCTTAGAATAGATTTAAGGGATTCCTGTTTGATGGAAAAACCCACCCCAAACCATTTTATACTCTCTGGAGCTGAGCTGATCTCTTGAAGTAGCAAATATCAGAACACAGTTCATGAGTAGTCAGCTTTTATTTTTCTTGTAAGGAAAAATAGTCTTTATTAGGCAAAAGTGAGAATTTACCCATAGTGGCTCCTTGTCCTGTGAGGCATGCCTGTGCATTGTTCTGTGTAGTTGGTTTGTTCTGGCAGGCAGTGCTGCAGGTGCCCTACTGACCTGGGAGGTTCGTACACCCTCCCAGGAGATGCTGCAGTAGGGTTCAGTCTGCATCTTCATTTATCACAGCGCCAAATGCAGATAGAGAATGCAAGGTAGAACAAACAGAAGGCAAGCGCACTTTGCCAGTGATTTCCTGGCTTGCGTTGCTTCTCACAGAGTTGCTGATGACAGGCCTGACTCGTCCTGTATTCCATTTCCATTTCCGTTGCTGGCGGCCTCCTGGCTCATTTGAGTGAGAGGCTGTGGGCCCTCACAGAAAAGTGCGCTCACTCTAAGTGGATAAAGTCATCTTTCTCTGTCACTTCGAGAATGGAGGTCAGTCTCCAAGCCCCGCACTGACACTACTAAAACAGTTTATGCATTCATCAAATTTATAAACTCTTGAAATATAATTTACAGCTATAATCACTGTAGCTAGGAGAGGACATATGCAGCTGTGGGGGTACCATTCCTCTCTGAGTGTCTGAACCTGAACAGAAAGAGAGCTGTGAGATGGAAGTCTCGCTGTGTTGATGTTGATTTGTATTTTTCCATTTAAAAATATTTTTTCTTTTTTAAAGTAAAATGAGCAGCTGTGCCCTGACTAATCCTGATACGCCATTGTTACCTATCAGTATCAAGCACAGGACAGAGCAGTGTACCTAGCTTCTGTCCTTGTGGAGCAGGGCCATGTCCTTTAAGTTTTATTTTTTTGGCAACTAATTAAAATGAATGCCTTAGGAAATAATTTTATAGTGTTTATTTTTCTTTTACTAGTGTATGCTTTCAGTGGGCAGTTGCTATATTCACCTTGGGGAACTGTATATAACATTTCTTGATCATTTCAATCCCTTTACCTTCACTCCCCCTCTCTCTGATTCCTGCTCCCCAGCTTCAGAAAGTCTGCTATTTTGTGTCTTTTCATCTCTCCTTTATTTTACCCATATTTGTATTTTTTTTTTTTTTTTGTCTTTTTCATTTTTATCGGTACCAGGGACCGAACTCACGACTGCCTGCTTACAAGGCAGGCAGTTTTGCCGCTGAGCTAAATCCCCAGCCCCCCATATTTGTATTTTAAATTTCTCCTGTAAGAGAAACCATGTGACATTTAACTTTCTGTGTTTGGGTTATCTCAAATTACTGTCCTGCAAATAACAATTTTCATTTTCTTTATGCAGCCATCTGTTGGTGGGCACCTAGGCCACCTCCGAAGCGTAGCTGTTATAAGTTGTACTGCTGTCCAGGAGAGGTAGAGCTGGCTTAAATTGAATTTCTATTTTTAGTTTTCTGAGAAGTTCCATACTAATTTCTGCAGTTCTACTGTTTGTGTTCCCACTGACTATGTGGAAGTATTCTTCCTCTTCACTGGCATTTGTTGGTTTTTGTGTTCTTGATGGCCGTTCTGACTGACATAAGATGGGAGGTCAGAGTTGTTTTGATTTGTATTTCCTAATGCCAAAGAATGATTTTTTTATGCACTCGCCATTTGTACCTCTTCTTTGAGAGTATGTGCTCACTTCCTTTGCCCATTTTTTGCTTGGGTCATTTGTTTGAAGTCTTTATATATTCTAAGTATTAGTCCTTTATCAGAAGGATGGCTGGCAACTTTTTTTTTTTTTTCTTTTGGCCTAGTTTGTAGGCTGTCTCCTCTCTCTTGTTGTTTCCTTTGTTGTATAGAAGTTTTAAATTTGATATAATCCTATTTATTGATTTTTTTTTTTTTTTTGGTATTATTTCTTGTGCGAAACATGTGCTAGACAATGTTTTCTTGGGTGTGGGAGGAAGTACCAAGTAGCGGCTAAAGGCTGTTTGACTGTGGTCATTGTCATTGATCACCACACCTCTGTGTCACCCAAGATCCAGTTCTGTGCTAGAGGATCAAGGCTGGGTGCCTCAAGAACAAAAGGGTGGATACTCAAGCCACCCCGCCTGGCTGAGGAATTAGGCTGCCAAGTTGAGGTAAAGGATAGAGCACCACTGGGTCATCCCACATTCCATTCCCTGGTGGGCATTGTGCTCATTTGCTCTTGACTGTGAAGCCAGAGTTCAGATAGGCTCTCATTTGCTGTGTCTTTCAGTATCACCCATTTGCCCCCTGTAGAGTACATATGTACTCCTAAGTGTGCTTTGTATTGCATCTCTTAATACATTCTCAGTGGGCTGTTATTCACATGTCTCACTGCCAGGCAGTTTGAACCATCAATGGTACATGCATGACTGGTCCTTTGGAAAGCTTGTACCACTGGTGAATGGATCTAATCGCTTTATCTGTCTTTTTACTACTGATAGAAAGCTTTGGGGAACATGTTAAAGAATTAGCTGCACTGTTGAGTTTTATTGATATTTGATATATCAGAGTCAAGATTAAAGAGGTTTTTATTTTATATCATTTTATTTTCCTGTTGTCTATCAAAACTTGGAGTATACATATACGTACTTCTGGTTGTAATATGATAAACATCAGTCACCGCCATTGAGAAATGTTGTAATTTAACATGAATGGCCTGGGCCAGGGATATGGCTCAGCGGCACAGTAGCTGTCTGGCAAACACAAGTTCTTGAGTTTGATTCTTGGTGGAAAAAAAAAAAAAGCATGATTGGCCTTAACTCATGAAATGTATAAATTCTTCATGATAAAGCTTTATTGCATTACAATATGAGAACACAAGTTGTGCTCAAGAGCACTTCCCACCATTAGTTAGTGATCAGCGTAGCCATTGAACCCTCGGATGTGTGGGGTCTTGTGGAGATTTTAGAGTCTTTTCTAAACACTTGTCAGGTGACCACTCAGGAAGGGTCTGTGTGTGGTTTTTTTTGTTTGTTTTTGTCTTTTTCCTTCTTATCAGTACCGGGGATTGAACTCACGACTGCCTACTTGCAAGGCAGGCGCTTATGCTGCTGAGCCAAATCTCCAGCCCCAAGGGTCTGTGTGTTTTTAAGCATTTGTTTACCCGATCTTTTAAATACTAGGAAACCTGCTTGTAGGTTTCATCTGTATTTAATGCAGATGGTTCATAATATAACCTGTAACAGTTGCATGCATTTCTAAGTATCTACTTAAATAATTCATTAGTTTCTTAAGTATTTATTAGCATTGGAAGAAACTGATGAGGGGGTGATAAGAGCTAACATATGAAATAAATAGAGTTGTATTTATAAAACCTGCTAGCAGGGTGTGTGTAGAGCCAGACCCAGCTGGTTATCTCACATTGGCTGGGATGTGGCTTCAACATGCCTCCTCTGATGAGGCACTCATATTCTCAGGTCTGCCTGTATAACTTGTACCCTTTCACTATTTTTTTTTTTTTTTTTTGTCTTTTCTCCTTAAATAAAATTTAAAAAAAAAAAAAAAGTCCATGGAAACCATGCAGAGGCGCTGTGGTGTGTTTGTGTCCTGGGATGAAGCGATGAGTTGTGGTGGTGGCAAATCCTTGCGTGGGCTTTGTAATCCCTTCAGGTGTCACAGCATGCAGCTCAGACTGACAGTCACGGCATAATTCCAAAAAGAACTCATTTGGGGCATATTTTTACTTTATTTTTGGCAGTAATTGGGATCTGTCTTATTTACTTTTCTCATTGCTGATACAAAATAGCCAGTGCTCAAAGTTAAAGGAGGAAAGGTTTATCTAGCTCACAGTTGTGGAGGCTTTAGTCCATAATCGAGTTGACACAAGACCAGGCTGCCAGCTCCACACAACTCACCTAGTCTTCCTACTCCTGTCCATCTGGTCTCTGCTGAGGGCTGAAATATTAACATGAATAAGGCAATTAATACCATTGTTCTTCTTTTAAATTATTGACACCAAACATAGAAACTGTCAATGTAGGATCTCTTTATGTATTTTGTATCATATATTCTATTGTAAATATAAAAAAGTAGCAACCACACGTTGTCTCTAAAATGTTCTAGTACTGGGCCTGGGGTCTGGCTCAGCAGCACAATGCCAGTCTGGGGAGCACAAGATTTTGAGTTCTATATCCAGTACCAAAAAAAGAAAAAACTGTTACGGTATCAAAGATCATCTTTCTGAAAGGTGGAGCAGAAAAGAGAGAAGAAAAGGAGAAAATACAGGAGTGCCCTGGCTGTGAGGAGAATATCAGGAAAGAGATCAAAACAGAAGCCACCATGGGAATGCACATTTGAGTGACTCAGGGTTGACAGTGGGCCAGGGCAGAAGCTGTTCTCTGAGCAGGGACACTGGGCGCACAGCGCATCTCACTCCCAGTTCAGGAAAAGTACCTATGTCACTGTTGAATCCAGGTTTGCAAAGTGAGGTCAAAGTTAAAGTCTGCCCAGGCTGGGTTTGGTGGTGCATACCTGTAGTTACAGCGCTCTTGGAGCTGAGGCAGCAGGACTGCAGATCTGAATCCAGTGTAGGCAAAAAGGACTGAGGCTATAGCTTAGGACAAAGGCCCTTTGTTCAATCCTGTTACAGCTTATGTCTGGATGTCCCCCCAAAGTCTCATTTACAGTCATTGGGGGTAGGCTTTTCAGAGGAGACTGAATCTAATTCATTTGCGCTGAGAGCTAGCTCTACTTGCCCTAGGGGCAGCCTGCATACAATATAAAGGGCAGAACAAAACCTGTCCTGTCTTTTGTTGCTTTTGTTGTCTTCCACCACCAAGCATAGGCTCACATGAGCTGCTAGCACATGCACCCCAGGACTCAGTGCAGTAGTCTTGAATTAGCACCAGAGTGTGTGCAGACAACTGTGCTGTGTAGAAAAGGGAGAGTCGCAGCACTATACATGTGAATCAGCGCTCCTCAGGCTGATCTGATTGGCGTTGAACAGCTCGTTTAGAGAGGTCATGTTCACGTCCTGCTACTAGAACAACAGGTACTGAGCTCTGAGATTGGCTATGTGGGGACCTCTTGAATTTGTCCCTTACAAATATAGGACATGTGACCTGACTTCCTGAGGTTCAGTCTTTGCCTTTGACAAGTGAAACTAACTGGCATCTAGGAGTAAATAGCTCTGCATGTGGATCTTGTGGCCAGCCTGAACCAACCTGAGGCCATTCTCAGTGTTCCTATTGCACAAGAAAGTCAGTTACTGCACAGGGAGGGGACCAGGGCCAAGGAGAGACCAATTCCACATCTGTCCTCACCCCACAAGGAATTGTTTCTATGCAGTTCAGCAAGGAAGATGGTAGCATGGTGTGGAGACAGGCTTGTTGAAGAGAACCTCAGGGAATTAGAGTTTTGTGGGAGACATATGATAGTCGTATTTCTTCTTGGAAAATGTCAGACAGACCCAGGATACACTGTTCCCCTTTGCCTTTGATAGTGTGTTTCTCAGAAGAATATGAAAAGCTTGCAAGGTCGCAGAAATAGAGCTGGCCCTCACTGCCCCTCAGTTGAGCTACTGTCTTTCCAAGTTTGTGTTTCACAGAGTCAGCACCAGTTCCTCCTTGGTTTTCACAGACTTTCAAGTCAGCCATATGTGATGGTGCTGAAGCAGGAGGATCACAAGTTTGAGCCTAGCCTAGGCAACTTAGCCAGACTGTCTGAAAAAAAAAATTTTTTTTTCTACTGGGGATTGAATTTATGACCTTTTACTTACCAGGCAGGCTCTTATTTCACGGAGCTAAATCCCCAGCCCCTAATTTTTTTGGTGGAAGTCGGGGAGAGTATGGTTACTGGGGATTGAACTCAAAACAATCTCAGATTGGATTTGTTTTTTTGGTTTAGTTTGGTTTGTTTTTTTTGGTATAAGGAATTAAACTCATGACCTTGTGTTTGCCAGGCAGGAACTGTGCCTGCTGAGCTATGTCTTAAAATTTAAAACAAAGAGAAGAAAACAATATAAAAAGGAAAAAGTTCTTTAAAGTTCAGTTCAAAAACCCTGGGTTCCATCCCCCTTACAAAAGAAATGAAGAAGAGTAGGGAAGGCCATTGCTGTATGCACGTGCATCAGATAGTTTTTCTAAATTTGTTGGCTCTGTTCGTAGGATCAAAAGAGTGGGCTGCATCGGCAGGAGTCCTGAGTCCTGTTTCCTTCCAGGCACATGCAGAAGGCCCTCCCCTCCCAGCACCATGAATCTGGGCAGCTGACTGCAGTGATGTGCACTGTGTCCCCTGTTGGTTGCTGAGCACCTGTATGATGTGGTCCTGTTTTCTTTATCCAGGTTATCACAAACCTAGTGAAAATGCTGAAGTCCAGAGACACCAGGAGAAACTTTTGTCCTCCAAATCACTGGCTGTCAGAACAAGAAGACATTAAAGCAGATAAGGTATTACTGAAAGATCTTTTTAATATTTTTCATATATATATATGGTTTTTTTGTTTGTTTTTGGCTTCTGTCTTTTTGGGAAAAAAATTAAGTACTTTAAAAATGTTTAATTTGGGGGCTGGGGATTTAGCTCAGCGGCAAGTGTGTGGTCCTGAATTCAATCCCCGGTACCGATAAAAAAGAAAAAGACAAAAAAAAAAAAGTTTAATTAAAAAAAAATAAAATGTGATTCCACTTAAGGAGGGAAATAGCAAAAAAAAAAAAATTTAATTTATTCCTTACTGTGTAACTAAATATTAGTGGTGAATTCCCTTTTTTGCCAGCACTTCGTCAGTCATACAGACATATGTGCCAGCACCGTCAACTTAAAATGTACATTCTGAGTATATGTGTTTGGTCCTCATAATAGGTAGACCTTGTCTTTGATGTCATAAAGGAACAATCACAATGTGTTGCTCAGATCTGGTCTAAAGCCGATACTCTTGTGTAATGCATTAGGACAAGCACAGCACGGCCTGAGGACATGCAGGCTGGTTTGCATGTCACAAAGACCTGCTAGAGGGCGACTGAACAGAACACTGTGGAGTTTTCCCAAAGTTGGGACTGGGAAAAGGATTGAAAGTCCTGGCATAGTATAACTGCAGATAGTCATAGGAGTAGCAAGATGGAATAATCTATCTTGCTGTCACACCTGTGGCCTTATTGTGCCCACTGACCAGGCTTGGAACAGTGGAGCAATGGGCCCAGGTTCAGATCCTGGACCAGGGCTGCTCTTGGTCTGGGAAGACTGGCCTGAGAGCAGTGGAGCTCCACTGCAGGAGAAGCACATGGGTCCTGAAAAAGGAACAGGAGCCCAAGGGGCTCCATCCTAAGCATCTTGATGGATAGGAAATAAAGTCAGCTGCAGTGGACACCCATCAGTACTAAAAAGAAACAGCTTTACCATGTGCCTTTGTAGCACACAAAAGTCGTTACTTTGAGTACTGTTCTACAAAGAAGGAAGTCATGAGCTTTTTGTGTACCTTTCTAGGGTCGGCCATATGGAACATGATCGTTCTGTTGTGGGTGTTTTCTAGCTGATGGCTTGGGAGGGTGTGTAGACTACATCACCCCACTCAGTGGCCCTGGCAGCCCAGCCTGGGCAAGGCCCTTGCAAATGGGTAACATGTTCTTCATGTTAGCGCATTCTTTCCCTGGGTGCATGCCTGTGCTTGGGTGGCAGCAGTCTCTACATTGGTCAGCAGCCTAGGTCCTATGATGAAAGTGTACCACTATGTCAGGACAAAAGGACAGACAGGGTTACAGCACCATGAGAGTGTATTTAGCACAGCTCAAACTGTGGAAAATAAAAGGCTTTTTTCTTCATGAAAAATCACAGAGACCACGATAGGAGATGAGATTTTTTTTTTTTTTTTTTTTTTTTTGGTCTGTTTTGAGATGGGGTCTCGCTATGCAGTTCAGGCTGGCCTTGTGCTCACTTTGTTGCCCAGGCTGGTCTTGAACTTACAATGATCCTCCCACCTCAGCCTCCTGAGTGCTGGGATTACAGGCGTGAGCCACCACGCCCAGCAGGGAATGAGTTTTAAAGAAAACGTATCTTGTACCTATCTTCCTTAAATACTCATTTAACCAAATTACTTGAAAAAACATCTGTATGTGGAGGTGGGTGGTACTAGTAAAGAGTTGTTGATTTTAAGGATGATGTATTTGACCTCATAATGCAGATGTATTACTTTGGTGATTTACTGTGCCCAGACACTATATATCATTAAGGCAAATAATTGTGAACCAGCACAAAAGCACTGAGGGTCAGCCAGCATGAGTGCGTGGTGGGGCAGCCTAGGCAAGAGAGAGGGATGGAAGATAAGTATTATTCAGGCTGGCATGGCATGTCCCCATAGGTCACCCAGCTGTATGTGCCAGCATCCAGACATGTGTGGAGGTTCCGACGGATGGGGAGGATCGGCCCCCTGCAGTCCACTCTGGAGGGTAAGTGTCCATGCACTGCACTCCCAGCTTTAACAATGTTACCTAGCCAGGATGCGCATAGTGGCCTTGGCTCTACAAAATTGACTCACTTTGGGCGAGTGTGCAGTCCTTATGTGCACCACCAGAATCAGCTCCCCTGAGTAGTTTTGACATGCTGATTCTGAGGCTAGCACCCCACTCAGTTTGTGGCAGCCAGTGGTGCTTTCTTTACCTGTCAATTTGCCTTTTCCAGGTCTTCAGAGTAATCAGCTGTGGACTGCCTGTGAGGAGCTCCTCCATCCAGTGCAAGGCCTGGGCTGTGCAGACCCAGCTTGTCCCTTCTGGGCTTGCAGAACTTTATTCTGACTGTGCTCATTTACTAATTTGTTTGTTTGTACAAGGCCAGGGTCTTCTGTCTCTCATGCTGCTAAATTCACCTGCCGTGAACATACATTTTTTTTCTCATTTGAATAAATATCAGAAGTAAGAGTCTTGAGTTGTGGACTCAGTGTGCACGTAACTTTACAAAGAAATGAATGCCTATTTTTTAGAGAAGCTGCCCATGTGGTACTCTGACTAGCAATATGGGCCATCTAGCTGTTACATAGCCTGTTTATGTTGGCCACTTGAGAAGGTGCACAGTGATAGCACATTGTGGTTTTGATCTGTATTTCCAAGCTAGTGATACTGAATATTTTTCACACACTAGATTTTTTTTGTGTGTGTCCGATTTTAATCATCATGACTGTGTTTTGAGAATTTACCTAATTCTTACTAGGTTATGTTGAATCATCGAACATAAAGCGATAGTTCTTGATTGATATTTTCAGTGGCTGGTAGTTTAAAATTTTCTAGTAATTGAAACTCATATAGAATTTCAGCTACCCAAATGAATTTGTTTTATAATGAAACACAGAGCTTGAACTTGAAGAATTCCGAGCCCAGTAGGGATTTAGTAGAGAAATTATGAGCAGAAAAAGGATATGTTTATATAGCTATGGGCTTCTAAAGCCAAGCTAAAGTGTGATGGAAAATATGTATGATGCAGGTTCCCTTAGACTGCACTGCCATTAGAGATATTAAAAATAATGATAAGGGATGTTTGGGCGATAACAGTGCACAGTGTATGTACCTTTGTTGCTCCTGATTGATGTGTTTTGAAATTTTGTTTTAGGAGGTTTCTTTCATTTTTTTTCCTCCCTTGAAATAAAATGAATTTGGGAAAAAGATTGACAGTAAGATCCAGCTGGTACTTGCCTAGCAGTTAGTAAAGTGATGGAAACCTTGGAGATTTTGCCTCCTGGTTGGAGAATTTGGAAGGGGTTAGCCTCCACTCCCTTGCAGTGTTCAGCTCTCTTGTGGGAGTGTATTTGTTGGAGACTGGCTCCTTCTAGGACCAATCAGGCTGGGGCATGTCCCACCTCAGCTCTGGCTTTCTCAGACCCCATTTCACGAGACTGTATTCAAAGGATTTGTGGGGCTTGATACAGAGATCTCCATTGTGGGGCAAGGCTCTGTTAGTGGAGCCACTGAAGCCCTGGGTCCCACCCTGTGCCACTGTGGGCAATGCCTGTGGAGTGCCCTCAAAGATACTAGACTGGGCTGGAGGCATTGTGCAAGGATTAAGGGTTGGTGGAGGAACTAGTAGGGTATTGGCAGCCAGATTGATAGTGTATGTGCAGAACTTTGCAACAGAAAGTGGAAATGGAAAAGTAGAAATGAACTAATAAGTCCTTGCTATGCATTCCAGTGGGAGTAGAGTCCCCACCACTGTCGGTGTCCGAGGAACGACAGCTTGCCATCCTGACAGAACTGCCCTTTGTGGTCCCCTTTGAGGAGCGTGTGAAGGTACGGTGTGCCTCTGCTTCTACTCTGACTTGCTGTTCCACCTTGTGAGGGCTTAGCCTGTTAATATCCAGGAAGTTTCTGCTCCTCTCATGCTTTCTCAGTAGGTTGTGACCTCCCTGGCCTTTGTGTATAGACTAAAAGCATTCTTCCGGGCCTGCTTTTCTGGCAGTGGCTCAAGGGGTTTGTGGTGAATTTGCATTGTTGTTAAAATGCAGAACTTGTAAAGGTTTGTTTTTGTACATTCATGTGAAAATTGCTACTTTGTAAAAATGAAATGTGCAGATATGTTAACTCCTGATCTTTGCTAATGTGTAGAACTTTGTTTACATATATCTCTTTCCAAATTTAATTTAAAATGCTTCATACACTGGCTGTATTTAGAAAATGTCTGGAGGTTAATGGGTTCTGTGCTCAGGTAATGACTTCAAGACGGTGTTGTTTACCTTGCGTAGTCTGCAGAGTGAATGAAAGCCAGTGGCTTTGGGCACTGTTAACTGTCTTCACTAAAAACCACAAACACAGACATCATAGCTCCCTCTGCTGGACTTTCAACATCAAAATTATTACTTGACTTTCCTTATTATGGAGTCATTCTCACTGATACTCATGTACTGCTTTGTAGAACACTTTGTTCTTCCCTTCATCCCTATATTTTTATGAAAATTTATCAACAAATACTACAGCACAAATTTTCAGAATGTGGGGGAAAACAGCAATATTAGAAATAGCCAAATGTGTGGTGGTCTGTGCTTATAATCCCAACTAGTTGGGAAGCTAAGCCAGGATGGACATAAATTTGAGGCAGGCCTGTGCAACACAGTGTAGGATCTTATCTCAAAATGAGGCCAAAAAGGAAATGCTATTCACTCATACCCATTATTATTCATACTCATTTATTGATAAAATCAGTGTTTTTTTTATCTTGGCTGTTATCTTGTGTTATAACAAAGAATCTGTTCTGATAACCTTGCAATTTCTTCTGTTTGTTAGATCTTTCAAAGGTTGATTTATGCAGATAAGCAAGAAGTTCAAGGAGATGGTCCATTTCTGGATGGAATTAATGTCACAATAAGAAGAAACTATATTTATGAAGATGCTTATGACAAACTGTCCCCAGAAAATGGTATTGTATAATTCTCTTTCTATATGTATAAATGGCAGGAGGAGGCTGGGCAGTCATTTTAAAAAGGATTATTAAAATATGTGTGTCCATCTTGGTGTTCTGGCACAGTGATGGCAAACTTTTTAAGGGATGCTTACCCAAACTGCATTCCAAAATGCACTTGTGGATAAATGGCAACACTGTAATTAAACTAAATACTAAGATTTTAATTTAGAAAAAACAACCCTTATATTAACTTGTGTGTGTGTGTGCTGCATGTTGCTAATAGCAAAATTAATATCTTTCATTTTAAAAGAAAAGCAAGGCTGGGGATATAGCACAGTACCTGCCTGGCAAGCACAAGGTCCTAAGTTCCCATCACTGTTCTAGAATGACTGTTTTGTTTTTGAGGCAGAGTCTCATTATATAGTTCAGACTGGCCTGATACTCAAACTCATGATGATCCTCCTGCCTTTGCCTCTGAGTGCTGGTATTATAGGTGTGCAACACTACACTCACCTCTCTAGAATGACTTTTCTTTTCTTTTTTTTTCTTTTCTTTTTTTTTTTTTTTTTGTCTTTTTGAGACAGGATCTCGCTATGCAGTTCAGTCTGGCCTTGAGCTCATTTTGTAGCCCAGGCTGGTCTCGAACTCGCAACAATCCTCCCACCTCAGCTCCCAAGTGCTGGGATCACAGGCGTGAGCCACCACGCCCTGCCTAGAATGACTTTTTTAAAACATAAGGTTAAGCATAAAATTTAAGCTGAAAGTAAAGGAAGATATTTGGTAGTGTATATTATCAAATAATATTCCTAAAATTTATAGTTATTTAAAGGCTAAAAACTATTTCCCACTTCTTACCACTCTGTCTTTGAACTTTCACTTGCTACCTATTTATGTATATGCTAGTTGTCTCATGAAATGTATTGAAATAAATGCTGTACAATCATTTTTTAAATGAGCATAATACAGTTCAACACAGTGGGAGAGAATTACATTATAGCAGTAATTTGGGTATCACTGGGAGGTCAGTGACACATACTTTGTTTTATGTTACCATTTGATACTGTTAAAAAAAAATGTCCTGTTAATGGCACACGTAGTAGCAGTTTAATTGCAAAGTGTCATGTTCGTGGTATACATGGAATCCAAAGATCTTTTCAAACCTTCTGCTAATGGTAGGTTTTTTTAAAACAGCAGTTTCCTTTCTGTGAGGGAAGCAATTTAATTTTTTTCTAAGAAAGCCAAACCTCTAGTATTTAGAATTAATTGTTACTGTTCATTGGGAGAGCCAACGGGGGTGAAGGAGGTAATGGATGAAAGTTGACTGGAGATATTCCCCTATTCGGTTCCCCTGACAGTTTTGATTGTAATTTGCTTTTGTTGGTACCCCAACTCTCAGAAGCCCAGTGCTGCAAACTGAGGTCTGTGCCAAGCTGTGAGCTTCCCACCACGGCAGCTTCTCACGCCTTGGATATTGCTTTCCAAGTACTATGGACATACACGGCAAACTAGGCAGCCTGACTCTTGCCTGTCTGACAGTCTGGCTGGGGGACTGTTGGTGACAATGCCTCCTTGTGGTCCCCTCCTCTATGAGTACAGTGGTTCTCAAGCAGCATTTCTGTAAAGTCTGTCCTTCTCTTTCCCTCTGGCAGCCTGGAGTGGAATCATTTACCCTTGCGTACTCATGCTCATTGTGTAGAGCATGTGCACAGCAGTTTTGTTGGCTTGGTGATTGAACCTGGAAGAAAGAACACAATAAGCCAAAATCTTGACTGTGCTGTAATGGGAGGTTGTGTTTATTGTGTAGGTTTCCTGAGGAGTGAGACTACATGCCCACACCAGAAGAAGGTGTGGCTGGGTTGAGGCTTCAGCAGGGGTACCATGGTCCTTTCACTGGACATGTCTATGTACTCATCGGCTAAAATAAGTGCTCGCCAACCATTTTAAATTAACAGCAAATCTGTTTCTTGTGTGTGGGTTGTAGGACATTGCTCCCCAACTATAACAAGCCCCAGATTTCCTCATGAAGTTTCAAGCTTTGAAACTTACCTAAAAACTTTCTAGTGCATGCTGGTAATTGCCTAAAGATTAAAGAATTTGGAAAATTCGCGTAATATTTACGTTACAATGGTTAAAGTTTTTTTTTTTTTTAAACTATATAATTTAGGCCTCATCAGTAAGAGTTTTTAAATCATGTGTTAAACTTGTTTGATTTTTGCTAGGCAAAGTAGGGAAATTAAATATCTTGGAACATTTAATTTACTTAAGAGGAATGGCTTGAGCTGCTTTGTTGGCTAATCATTTACATATAATCAATTAATGTAATTATCCCATATGTCATCCAGTCATTAGAGTTGGTCTCTGTGGACACTGGTCTCACTGCACAGCAGGAGGAAGCTCTCCAGGCTGGGGTGATGATGACATGAGATGAGTTGCCTGAGTGATGCTTGGAGAAGTGGGGCTGCCTTTGTGTGATAATGGCATGGCGAGTACAGACAGCCGTTACATTCCCTCCTGGCAGTATTGCGGATTGTGGGGCTGCTGCAGGGCAGCTTGCCTGCACTGTGCCTGACCAGGCTTCCCTGGGATGTGGCACACAGCCTCTGCCCTGGCCTGTTGTCAGCCAGTCTCGGCCTACATTGGTTGGTTCGTTTTGTTTCAAGAAGAAATGGAATAGGCTAAAATTATATTAATGTTTTTGTGTTTTCTTCTATTAAATTTTTACTAATTATTAATTTATTATTTGTCGTGGAAAAAAGTAATGTGAGCAATCTCCAGTACTAAACTGTATGCTGAAAATGCCTTTTCCCTCTTGCATTTTACTGTGTATAGAAGCAAACCTGAGGAAACTGTAGACTCTCAATTCCAGCCGTGCATGAGAGCTCTCTCTCTCAGTGCATGCCTTGGAGGGGCTTCCCCCATGAGCCACAGTTGGGCATTTCCCTTAGAGGATATTTTTCACTTTATAGTGTTTATGAAACCTATTCCTGCTAGCCACTTGTAATCAGTTGTGACATATTCTTTCACAAAAATGCTTGCTTTCTTAAACCTGAGTATTAAGGTTGGGTGTGGTGATACACATCTGTACTCCCAATACTTTGAAAGCTAAGTAGGCAATTTCGTAACTTAGTGAGATCCTGTCTCATAATAAAAATGTGTAAGGGGTAGAGATACAGCTCAGTACAAAGGTCCTGAGAGGTTGGAACTCTATCTCAAGAAAATTTTTTTTAAAAGTAAAGGTAGGGAATACCCAAATATATTTTTGTGTTGCCTCTGTAATTGGCTAATTAGATTTCTATTGGCATTTTATCTGGAACTTACATTGGACATATTTTGTAATCATATTAACCAAAATAGGTGCAAATAATATGCTTATAGAGTAGCATTATCAGTGGAAAGTATGTCCTTCACATAGGAATAGTAGTTAAAATTGTAGGTGCCTGGGTCTGAGTGGACCAGACTCCAGGCTCTGTAGGTAGAAGACATATTTATGTCACTCACTGTTACAGTGTTAACCATGTGACTTTAGCATAAGAAGAGTAATTTAAGCTTTTCTGCCTTCAGTTTTCTTGCTGCAAGATACAATTATTAAGGGCGTCAGTGTAATCCTGTAAGATTCCAGCACACATCACTGGTGAAACCATTGGTGGCAGCCGTTATTTCCTTGGGTGTGGTGGCAGGGTAGGGGAGACAAGCTATAGCCACAAGTGGGGGTTTGATTGCCTTGGTTCCTGGTGAGGTGTGCTCAATAGCACAGAGGTCACTGAGAACCAACAGGCCAGTGCTGCTGTCCCTGTGGGTGGTCCAGGGAGGTACCTCTCTGGTCCCTGTTATAACACGCTAGTGCTCCTTCGTGGTGACTGCACTTGGGTACCTCTGTGGCACCAGTGTCCTGGGGGAGATGGTGATCCATTCTGGTGGCGCCCTTTGGCCCTAATCCCATTCCTCTGCTTTGAGGTGTTTTGGGGGCTCTTTTCCTTAAGGCACGGGGAGTGGTTTCCTCCCAGCCCCATTCTTGGGGCCAGCTTTCTTTCTGCGCCCTGTATGCTCTAGAGAAAATCTTAGCCTGCATTCTCATTGCCTTTTAATGTCACTACCTTGTTGACCCTTGTGCAAAAATGTCTCTAGCAGTGTCAGTGGCCTTCCCTAAGACTTATAAGACTATTTATTTTATTACTTCCATTTAACATCTTTCATCTTCTGTCTCCCTTTTTGAATAGAGCCTGATTTGAAAAAGCGGATTCGTGTGCACCTGCTGAATGCCCATGGCCTGGATGAAGCCGGCATCGATGGTGGTGGTATTTTCAGAGAGTTTTTAAATGAACTCTTGAAGTCAGGCTTTAACCCCAACCAGGGGTTCTTTAAGACTACTAATGAAGGGCTTCTGTATCCCAGCCCTGCTGCTCAGATGCTTGTGGGAGACTCTTTTGCCAGGCATTACTACTTCCTGGGCAGAATGCTGGGAAAGGTAAAGTAATCTTCATGTAAAAATAGTCCAAAACACTGTCCTATTTCTCTGTATATATGGATTAATTATTAACATAGCTTTGGTGACCCCTAAATAGTATTTATTTACCTGGTAGTTATGTTTCCTCTTTATATATTATGTGCATTTGTAAAGCATTATAAAAATCATCTACAGTTTAAAGATCATACTGTATTTTAAGACTTCTCATACTTTCTTGATAATGGTGAAAGTGTATGATATTTTTTTGAAAGTGAGTAATTTTAAAGTGCTGTGAGATAAAGACCATATCCAGTATGATGTAAGTATGTTCTGTATGTTGTGTGCAAATTCTGTAAAAACTTACATCTTAGGGTGATAAAGTGATGATGCTATAGGAACCAGGACATTCCATCTACCAACCATCTTTTCAGAGTGGTTCAGCCTTCACTGTTCATGAAATTATGTGACAAGCAGAGATTGCAAGTTCTGTTCAGTGTTCCCTCTGGTCCAAGTTAGGAATCAGATGAAGGTGCACACGACCTGTCCTAGACCAGGGTTATGCCTTAGGGTCAGGGTCACAGTTGGTCCCCTATACTCACTTTTAGCCCCCCAAAACTATTACTGTTTGAAATTGGTTACTAACACAAGATTTTATGTATGGGCTATGTTTATTTTATTTTGTTTCTTTACATTTTAAGTGAATTGCCGATTTATAACATTGTGGCTAAGCAGTTCCAGTAAACTCTAGAGCCAACACTTATCCTAGAAGTATTGAAACTTAGGCAAGAATCACTCATCATTGCCATGGACTAAAGCCACTTGTATGTGAGAGGCTTGAAGCACTGGGAAGGTGTTCTGCACTGCACTGGGGTTCTGCAGTGTTCAGGCTCCTGACTGTTAGGACTCACTGGGCTGATAGAGAATCCGTTTACCCCCGTGCTATCTCTTTGTCAGAAGCCATTTAGAGCACTTTCAAATCTGAGAGAAGGAGACCACACAAGTCCATTGCAGCAGGGTCCCCATGGGTTTCTCTCCTTCCAGGAGGCAGTGTCTATTTTGTCCTCGTTCTCCACCACTGCCTACATGGCACCAAGCACTGGCTCTGCCATATAGCCTAGGCCATTTCAGAACATTTCTTTCTCCTTCTTTCTTGCCTTGCATATCTTCATCTGGGATGTACTTCTTTGCAAGGTAGCAAAAAGAAATGACTCCTATGAGGTACTCAGAAGTATTACTGCAAGGTGTGCACAGCATGCCCACCTATAAGATTATTATCCAGTGAGATTACTCTTGTGTTATTCATGGTTCTTTGGTGTATTGTTCTATATTTGTAGGTAAAAGCCGTTCATACTCGGAGTGAATTCTTTAAGGTGTTTTGAATGGTCTGGGGATGTTCTTACTTACTCTCTTTAAAATAGTAGAAGAAAACTTGAGATTTAGTGTCCCCTCTGCAGCACTTTTTTTTTTTTTTTTTTTTTTTTTTTTTTTTTTTTTTGTGGTACCAGGGATTGAACTCACGACCTCGTGCTTGCCAGGCAGGCGCTTATACCCCTAAGCTAATCCCCGGCAAAGACTCTCACTATTGCATCTTTTCTTTTTTTTTTAATCAGTACCAGGGATCAAACTCACGACTGCCTGCTTGCAAGGCAGGTGCTTATGCCGCTGAGCTAAATTCCCAGCTCCTGCAGCACAGTTTTAGAAACAAATTATGGATTATTTGGCAAGCACTATAAGCATTGCATGTGGCTACCACAAATCCATGCTGACTAGAAGTGACTCTGGAACAGTGTCCAACATACCACAGCCCTGGGCCAGATCTGCTCATGTGCAGGTTTTCCTGTCTGCTCTTTCTACAAAGCTTAATTCTGCAGAGTTACATATTATATGACCCTTTGCAGGAGAGGTCTGTCAACTGTAGATAAAAAGTGGCAGCCACAAGGGGCTGGGGATTTAGCTCAGCGGCATAAGCGCCTGCCTTGTAAGCAGGCAGTCGTGAGTTCAATCCCTGGTACCGATAAAAAGGAAAAAGACCAAAAAAAAAAGTGGCAACCATATGTGAGGACTTGTACTCTGTGATAAAAACTTTAAATATCATGCTGTGGGTAGCAGCAAATCATGAACACGTGATTGGTGAGATTCCTGCTTTAAAGGCAAAGAGAGGCATGATAGATGTGAGAGGTTGAGGCCCAAGTGAAAGAACTGGGGATCTGGCTTAGTGACAAAGGTGTCAGGTGAGCATAACATGCGTAGCCCATTTCTCTTACTGTAATGACATCAGAGGCTAATTACTTTAGGAAGAAAAGAGGCTCCTAGAGCTCACTGTTCTGTATGATCCGAGTATGATATTTGCATTAGTGTAGCTGTGAAATGGGCCTCATGATGGGTGGTATCACAGGAGCATGTGTAGGAGCAGGCATTTGCAGAACAAGACAGGAAGCCAGAGACCACAAATGGGGGTGGCATGGGGTCCCAGGAGCACTGTTAAGCCCCCAAAGATATTCCACAGGGAGACCTTGGGGATGCCCCACATCCAGACCATGGTGGACCTCCCTCTTCTGATTGGACCTGTGATGGCTTTGATGTCAGTTGTTAGTGAAATGGCCTTTTTTTCCTTGGGTGTCAGCAACCCTGGTAGAGTGAGTGGGTTATAGGAGTGTATTGTGCACCACCATGCCACCTTATTGGAACTCTGGAGGTTATGACTTTCATAACTCATTATAAAATTTTTAAAATGGTATCTTGTAGTTCTTTCAACTAAGATGAACCTAAGAGCTTTCTAAATTGATGGGGGAAAAAAAGCCTTTTTTTAGCCAGACACACCTTTGTTGTCCTGTAAATCCAGTAGTTTGCACAGAAGATAAAGTGTTAATTGTATTTGTGTGAATTAGGTCATACTAATATTATTTTTCCTTCCTAAACATATGAAGTATTTTCCACTGGTGATAGAGACCAGTAGTTACAGAATCCTTCTGAGGTTAAGCTCATTTTCCTCTGTTTATTAATATGCTATTCATAGTGAGATTACCCTAAGATGATGTCCTGCAGAACGATAGTAAATCATAAGTAAATTCAGTAAGGTTAATAGGTGGGTATTACCTGTCCTGTATACTTAAATGACGCTGCATAAAGGAGACTTTGTGGCCTTTACCTCACTGCCAAAATGTTTAACAAAATTTAGATAACACTAATTAGAAACCTACAGTTATTTCATTGATGAAAGAATTCGAGGATATAAGAATACAGGAAAATCTCTCATATTCATGGATTGGAACAATTAATATTATTAAAATGTCTGTATTACCCTAAGCAATTAGTAAAGTAGTATAGGGCTGAGGATTTAGCTCAGCGGCATAAGTGCCTACCTTGCAAGCGCATGGTCGTGAGTTCAATCCCCGGTACCAATAAAAATAAAGTAGTATAATCCCCATCATCAGCATACCAGTGACATTCTTCACAGAACTAGAAAAGGCAATCCTAAAATTACTGGCAAGCACAAAAGCTCTTGAGTACCCATACAATCGTGAACAAAAGAACAAAGTTGGAGGCATGTCTGACTTCGAGATCTGGCAACCATGACAGCAGCAAGTACCAGCCTCAAAGCAAACACATAGACCAGTGGATAGAGCAGAGACTCAAGCAGCAGCCTGTGCATCCCAGCTACACACTGTGCCACTGGCACGCACAGGATGGAGGACAGATGCTTCTGTATGTGGTGTTCTGGGTCTAGAACACCACCTCCACGCTGCACAGGATAAGCTCTGTCCTGAGCCAAGACCTGAAACTGAGACCACCAGAGAAAAACAGAGTAAGATCTGTAATATCTCAAAAACTTAGGCAGCAAGAACTGAAATAAACAAATGGGATTCTATCAAACAGAAACCTTCCGTGCAGTCAAGGTGGCCTGAGGAGTAGGAGTGGGAGTGGGAGTGGGTGTTTGCAACATTCACCAGATGAATGAAAAGTTAATATTCAGAATATATAAGCATGGGAAACTGCTTTTAAAAACCAGATAATTCGCTTAAAAGTAGGCAGATGGTCTGAACGGACATTTCCCAAAGGAGAAATCCAAATGACCAACAAATACATGAAAAAATGCTTGATCTCATTAGCACTAGCCAAATGCAAATCAAAATCACATTGAGGTACCATCTTACCCCACTTAGAGCAACTGTTAGCAGAATAAAACTAATGAGTATGGAGATACTCAGGAGGCTGAGGCAAAAGAATCTGAAGTTTTAAGCACAACCTGGAAAGTTTAGCAAGTCCTTGTATCACAAGATAAAAAGTTTTGGGGAGGTAGCTTATTGCAAGTTCCTGTCTACTTTCATTCCCTAGTCTCACAAAAACCAGAATTGTGGAGATTCCTCAGAAAGCTACAAATAGATCTCTCATGTGCTCCAGCACTCTCACTCTTGGTGATATATATGCAGAGGGAATTAAACATTCTTAAACTGTAAAGTAGGGTTAAATTATAGTCAGTTGTCCACACCTGTAATCCCAGGACCTGGGAGGCTGGGGTAGGACAAGTGTAAGCATGGGCTGCCTAATGAGGCCCTATCTCAAAAAAAAAAAAAAAAAAAAAAGAGTAAAGTCCTGTCAAAATGGATGGGACCAGAGGGTGTCTTTGTGTAGTTATCCAGACACTGAAACATAGTGTTGCATCTTCTTGAATGGAAGTTAGAAAACAAAAGAAACGGGATTGGATGTGTTTGGGGAATTACTGGAGGACATGCAGGATAGAATGTGAACTCAGAGATTTGATCAGCCCAGCTCTGCACATGTGTTGAAATAACATGAGCCCCATTCAAATGTAGAGTCTATACAAGCTAGTCAAAAATTACTTAAACACTAGTTTTATTTGAATGTCATTGCACATATTTAAGATGCTCTTTATATAACTTTTGGCATGGAAATTCCTGTGGGGGTGCTAATTTCTAAAACATACATGATTATCATCTGATTATAAATGGTTAGTTTTGTACTGACAGGCTAAAAATTGTCTGGGCTTAAGTAAATATAAT